AAAACCATCTGCAGCCTGGCATTGGAGAACAACAAGAAATTTTATAAGTACATATCTTTAGGCATCAATGCACGCTAAAAAGTAAAAACAAGCATAGTACAAAACCTAAGGACCAATGGATAAATAATTTATATGATTTTTCCTTAAATTTCACCACTCTCTACCAAAATACTTTCAATAGTTAACTTAATCGCCTAGCGGTGCCTGAGGAGCAGAAAGAACCAAAGGAAAAGAAAAAACCTTTGTCGGCATTCCTTGATCATCAAACGCTTTAGAAGCAGGGGGTCCTCGAACTTCAATTTCCTCTTCCAGCTGCTTAGAGGACATAGCATCAACTAAAACCTGAAAAGGGAACCTTCACGTTAAACTGCTTTAAAAAGAAGAACAAATTCAAAAAAAACTTCAAGAGTTCCATGATTCGACTCAATAACCCACAGCCCAAAAACTTCAGATACGTTTCAAGAGTTGACATGTTAGCAATAATTTGTTCCTAGAGTTTAGCAATAATTTGTTCCTGGAGTTGACATATTAGCAATAGTATGTAAAAGTAAAAACATCTTATTAATTACCACTAGCCTGCGAGGTGTCCCAAATGCTTTCACAGTGCCATGCCGCAGTCTTTGGTTCTCTAGTAACTGTAGCACTAAAACCCTGAGCTGCAACATTAATAAGGACAGTTACTTGATGCCCAATCTATCAAAAGAGCATAACACAAAATGACAAACAAGAAGCACAGGAAAAAATGATCTAGGGAGTTTGAAAAGTAAAATGTTGCAGCATGAGCGACCCACAAAAGTTTCCAGGAGTGAGTGGTGAGAGATAGAGAGAGAATTTTCAAGGTTTTCCAAAGGAAATGAAATTTTACTTGTTCGCTAGCGTTGATAACATCTTGAGGTGGCATCTCTTCAGTCCCTATCTCAATGATAAACGATCTTGGATCCTCAGAAACCTGTTTGGAAAAGAAAAAAAAATATCTAAGTTGACGACTTCAGAAATGTTTTCATAAATCAAACCATCCAGCTTTCTCGTCGTAAGTAGACCATATCAGCAAGGAATGCTAAAAAGATTATCGACACCAAAATATTTCGTAAACTAATATCCCACAACTCATCAAAAAAGGGAAATAATCAGCAACAAATCTCCGATTGTAGATCCTCAAACTAGAAAACGCCAACCTTTTCAGCCACATTTTCCAAAGCAGCTCCGTGATGAATGGGAGAAATATGTTCGGAGGCAACACCAAGAGGATGTCCAAGAGACTCACGTGTCTTTAACCACAGTTGGGCACATTGGCGAGCCAAGCTATTCTTTCAAAGAAGATACACAGAAGCAAAAATATGCACATTATATATGTATATTTACAAGTAAAGACTTGTTTAAAGCATCTCCTATCCGGTTAATCAAGCTTGTTGGTTTGCTCAATAATACACTCAGAAAACTGGAACAGATCTTAGTATCTTACCTGCGCATTCGACTAAAATAACGAGCACGTTCAGTTACACCAACGAAACCTCTAGCATCTAAGATGTTAAAAGCGTGAGAAGTCTTCAGAAGCTGGTCATACCTAGCATGCCCCCAAGCAATTTTGTTAAATTCAGGAGACAATGGTTAAAGATGGAGAAGATAAGGGATGACCATAAGCATGTGATAAACATACGCAGGGATTGGAAGGCCTAAGGCAAGTAAGGAACGTGCTTCTTCGTCAAAAAAATCGAAATGCTTTTGAAGGCGATCCACGCTAGCATGCTCCAAATAATATGAGCTCATTTCCTTCCTGCAAAAGTAACCCAAATATTAGTCTCGAAACAGGATTACACAGAGTAGTTTTGATGATGTATGATGAACAATCCATAAAAGAATCAGTCTTACTCATTTTCCAAGAAAAGCTCCCCGTAAGTGATCCCATCAGCATATAAGATCTTTTTGAAATGGTCAACTTCCTGTCAGTTTAAACGAAAGGCTAACTTAAGCCAAACAATAAAGACCTAAAAGGAAAAACAAGTGTACATAAACAATAAGGAACTCTTATTCGAAAAAAAAAATAAAGTAATAAACGGAGTACAAGACTGACCTGAAGCAACATAAGGATGCGCTCAAGCCCATAAGTTATTTCAACAGATACTGGAGATAACTGAAGACTTCCAGCCTAGAAAGAAGCAAAGTTTCTAATTGTCGTTAGCAGAAAATACAGTAGGGAAAGGGAAAACCAAAATTACCCCAAAAACAAAAAAACGCAGACCATAATCTACATTTTGATTCATAAAAATGTTTTACATATTATGAAGATTACCTGCTGAAAGTAAGTAAATTGCGTGATTTCCATACCATCCATCCAAATCTCCCAGCCCAAACCCCAAGCCCCAAGCACCTGTAAGTCATTCAAATTAACAGACACTATCACACTGAAGCTCTCTGTGACAATAGAGTGAGAAACTAAAAGAGATGGAAAACCTCGATTTATGAATTTCACACATTACCGGGCTCTCCCAATTGTCTTCGACAAACCGTATATCGTGTTGAGTCACATCAATACCTATAAAAGTCACATAAGAAGTAGTAAGCAGAAAGATTATCTGGATTGAGAGAGAATTTCCTACATTGATGCACCATAAAGACGACCTATCTTGAGCAAGGGAACCAACCAGAACTAGGAGAAAGATTCAATATAACTGTGCGTATACAAGGAAACACTTGAGAGTCTGAAAATTAAGTTGCATTTCGGAATCAATGATAGAAGGGGGAAAGGTTTCTCAGTACCTAAAGCAGAAAGACTGTTGATAAAGAGGTCTTGGGAGTTTCCAGGATCAGGTTTCAGTATGACCTGAAACTGAGTGTGTCTTTGAAGCCTATTGGGGTTCTCTCCATAGCGACTGTCGTCAGGTCGTATGCTAGGCTCCACATACGCAACATTCCAGGGCTCAGGACCAAGAACCCTCAAAAATGTAGAAGGATTCATGGTGCCAGCTCCGACCTTAAGACGACGAAGCGGAGTTATGTGGTAAGAGGTGGTGGAGAGAAGAAGTTGAGAGAGATAGTGTAATGGTGATACCATACCTCGGTGTTGCTAGGTTGCATAACGGCGCATCCGACGGAAGCCCAGTATTCCTAAAAACAGCAGAAGAGAAATATAGAGTCGTTGACGTAAATTGAAGGAGAGAGAATGGGGAATAGAAGGGAGAGGAGTGAGGAACCTGGAGGCGCTGAATTGCTTGCTGGAATGTAGGAATAGAGACGCGGGCATCATCATCGGGCTCGCGATAAGAAGGTTGATTGTGAACACCGGAGGAGACGGCGGAAACGGCGGTGCGGTGAAATCGGCGGGAAGGTGGCCGAGAAAGACGGCGAGGGAGGAGGAAGAAGCGAGGAGAGGCGTGAGGACGAAGGAAGGAGATGAGAGGGAGAGAAAAAGAGAGGATGGCCATGAATGAGAGAAGACAAATGGGGTTTATCCAAATGCTAATGGAATGGGGTTTTTCATTTTTACAGAGATACACTAGTGTATAGAGAGATTATAGAGACCTGGATGAATATATCACACGATTAATTTCATCTGACCTATAATTCTATACGAAACCGATGCTTGGAAATGAACAAAAAGGAGAAAGGAAAAAGAATTATGAAATGACATCATTTGTCCATCGCAAGGCAAGCACTCAATATTCGGTTCAGTCCGGTTCGGATTTGAGTTTAGAATTTTAGAAAAGAATTTTCACTCGAATAACCAATTTTTATCGGTTGGATTTGGTACGATTTTAGACAAACCAAAATTATAACAAAAATAAGAAACAATTCACTAAATGTAGTTAAATTTTTTACATTTTTAATACATTTCTGTTTAGCCAAAAAAGAGTACTTCATCGATTTTGATTAGTTCGGTAAATTATCTCCGGTTTCATAAACTTCGGATTTAGTTTGAATAATTCGGTGTAGCTATAACGGATTGAGATTTTTGGTTTGAATTAGAACGGTTCTAAAATTGTAAAATAGCGCCTAAAACCTTGATTAGTTGGTCGAGCTGAAATTTCTAACTAAGCACACAATTTACACCGCATCTGACAGATACAAATAGGGGGGAGAAGAAAAGAAATTGTTAGAGGTCTTTGACCAATTGTTAATTGAGAACCTTTTGGTTTGGGGAAGGTTATGTGATCTCTTCAACAAAGGTCTCTCAACAGAGTTAGGAATGGTGGCATAAAGAGATTCTAACATAAAAAGTTTTTTTTCAAGGTTATTTTCCTTTTAACGTTTTAGAGATTTTACTATTACATTGTTTTTCTGTTACACTGATCATATGAATTGGTTCGATTTTTGACGAAAAATCATAAGTAATTATTTAGTTTTGTAGTTTTTTAATATACTCTACGTATTCAGATAATTTGATTGATTACATTCGGATTAATACTCTCGGATTAAGGTCAGATTTGGGTTTTGGAGTTACAATTCGGGATACTCTCTACTTATTCAGATAATTTAATTGATTACATTCGGAAAGGTCTAATTTTAACACTTTCGTGACGAAGTTTCTTTTTTGTTTGGAGTATTTTTTAATCAGATTAGGAATTTTCATCGAAGAGGTACCATATAAATATCAGATAAAGAATGGAAATGGAAATTATACCGAAAAAAAACAGGTTCAAGACTGAAACTTGAAATCAAATAAAAAACGAGTTCGATGGAAAACAATGAAGAAAGCTCAGAAGAATTGCCCACGTCATATCAATGATTGTGAAATCTCATATGTCCAGACATAATTAGAAGCAACTTCATCATCGCAATCATCATCTCAAAAACCCCATAACCATATCTCTATCAACCAATTTATCATCAAATCATAAAGTTATAAACGAAGTGAATACTCAGAGAAGCTACTAAATTGTAGCGATGGCAGACAATCTACACGGCATCAATTCAGACCGCCCGTCTGCTAGTATCTCATCATCGATTAAAATCCCCAAAAAAACAATTCAACAAAATCGAATCTACGACAAAAACATGATAAGCAAGGCATCAGATAATAAGCGGAGATTGTTTGTCAACATTATTATTCTGCGTGTTAAGCATAATTAATCAATTCGTCATTTGCCAATAATCTAAAATTCTTAAAATAATAAAAAAGAAGAAGAAAGTTTCGGTCGATTCATTTGACGCCAAAGCAAAAGAAATAGCAATGGGTTGGTAAGATAACCATTTCGATCTCTGCACCCGTTTTAACTCCTCCACCATTCTTTTGATTTTACTCTTGGTTAGAGAAGTGGGTAAACAGATGCAATTAAAAACCATAAGAAATCGCAAAAACCGAGAGAAAACAAAAAAACCACGAGAATCAATCGATATTCACTAACGCTACAGAAAACAAATCAACTACCTAAAGAGCATAGAAGAAACGCAGAGGACGAAATTCATAGATCGGTTGTTCTTTAAGGATTTAGATTTTTCGATATATTTATATAGCGGAGATGCTTTCTGTTTCGCAGCTATCTAGGGTTTCGCCTTTAACGGACTTCGATGGGCCGGATAATATATCTAGCTCGGCCTGTTTTAGTATGGTCCATTTTAATTCATAAAGACATAAACTTCAGAGCCTCAAGTTCAGACATAAACCAAATTAGTTAATCTCGGTTAGGTTTGGTTCAATTTTTTTATTCAAGAATGTTTTTACCCACTCCTCCTAAGCGGGATACTTAACGGATTTATCATTCAACTAACCAAATTTACAGATACATATGAATACAACCACAAAGGAGATTTATTAGTATCAAGAAATATATTTAAAAAGTTATTTAATGATGGAAGAAGTGATTATACAAAGAGTGATATTTTATTTATATTGAACACTCAATTTACAAAGATTCACAAACTTTATCTTAGACCCGATTACATGATTTGGCTTGGTTTATGCAATCACGCAACCCTCTTATTTATAGTGTTGAAATTATACAAATGGATATCTAACTTAAAAATACTTATATTCCTCATGCATAATTATTTACTTTTTACTTATTCAACATATACATTATTATTCATAATTCTAAACTTATTCAACATATGCATCATTATTTATTATTACATCGCTGGTTTCATAAACTTCATAATGGAGAGATTTAAGCCGAAAAACGTGCATCCGAGCAGTCGATAAGATCACTCACCAGTCCTTTTTCGTTTTGGTCTTATGATTAGTCCAAGGTTATTACTTTTTTTTTTTAACGTCTGCATGTTGTAAATACAAAGTGTTATGATCCTCATGGAGGATTTGAACAAGGTAGTAAGGGACATAAAAATGAAATACAAAGGAATTATTGGGAATTAGAGGTTCTCTTGCTAAACGATCTGCAGCTTTGTTACAGGATTGTGGTGCCCATTGGAATTCAATTGATTCGAATTTCTCTCCCCACCATTTGATATCTCTGATCCAGTTATGTAGCTTGAAGTTTTGCACTTTACCTGTAAGTAATTTGAAAACCATCTGATTATCTCCTTCGAAGATTATTCGACGATATCCACAACTCCATGTATGCTGCATTGCCATCAATAAAGCCTGTAATTCTGCTTCTAAGACATTTATTACTTGTCTTCCAAGCCCTTGGCCAGCTCCTAAATAGAACCCTTGAGAGTCCCTTATAATCCAGCCTGACAGAGACTGTGTTGCTTCTCTATATCGACAATCAAAATTGCATTGAAACCTGGTTTTGGTGCCGTCCAATGAGAGTGAGTCTCAGAATTTCTCATATGCAAATTTTGATTTCTCGGCTGCTCTTCAGAATTGAGGATAGAAGTCCATTCTTCTGCATCCATGACAGCTTGTTTCAAATCCTTTCTCCAGGAATTATTCTGTTTTTGGTAAACAAGTAGATTCCGACTTTTCCATATCCTCCACATCGTCCATAATGGAATTTGTCGTTGAAGCAGAGAAAGATTGGTGTTCGTATGACAGGCTAGAACAGCTCGTAATTTTGATTCAAAGGAATTATTTGGATCAAATAATTCTCTTATAGAGAGATGAGTTCCACGCCATATTGCTTCAACGAAAGGACAACTGAAGAAGAGGTGTTCTGGTGTTTCTTCTACAAGGCAACATCTTCTGCATTGGGAATCTCGAGTTATTCCCCTGTATTTTAGAGTACTTCCAATTGGCATTGCATTTGAGAGCAAACGCCATAGAAAATGTCTGATTTTGGGAGCTGTCTTTGTTTTCTTATAGCTTCTTTGAATTCAATAGGACCCGGAGGTGGAGCTATAATTTCAAGATCAGGAAGATGTGTTGCCAACCAATAAGCAGATTTGACAGTATAGAAACCTGAATCTGTATAACTCCAACCTAATAGATCAACTGACGATTGGGAACTGAGCTTAATCTGTTGAATTATCGGTATATCTTCTGCAGCAATAACACGTTCAATGGTTCTGAGATCCGAATCACTCTTTCTATCATTCATCAAGTCTCTAACCACTGTTATTTCCTGATCAGCTCCAATTACAGGTCTTGGTGCCCGAGGAGGGTGTGTTGGTAACCAAGCATCTTCCCACACTTTAGTTTCACGACCATCACCAATTAAGAAACGAAGCCCTTTTTTCATCAGATCTCGCCCTTCTAATAGAGACTTCCAAACAAAGGATGGTTTTGTGCCTCTTCCCGCTTGTAAGATGTCTGAGTTTTGGAAGTATCTTCCTTTGAGAAGACGAGAAACTAAACTGTTTGGTGATTGTAAAATCCTCCATGCTTGTTTACCTAGCATTGCAATATTGAACTTTTCAATGTCTCGAAATCCCAAGCCTCCTTTTTTCTTTGGCAGACCTAAACGTTTCCAGGCTATCCAGTGCATAGCTCGTTTATCTGGATCTTTACTCCACCAATAATCTGCTAAAACTGCATTTATCTCCTCACAAATACCAATTGGTATTTTGAAACAGTTCATGGTATAAACAGGAAGTGCCATAGCCACCGTTTTGAGAAGTATTTCCTTCCCGGCTGCTGATAGAAATTTATGTTTCCATCCACGAGTTCTCTTCTTAACATTCTCCACTATGTAGTTGAAAATCTCCTTTTTCTTCCTTCCAATTTGTTCCGGCAGACCAAGGTATTTGCCAAAACCACCATCATTGTGGATATTGAGGATTCGTCTGAGCTGTGTTTTGACGTTGTCACGGACTTTGGCACCAAAGGTTATTGCCGACTTTTGTAAATTCACAGCTTGTCCTGAGATCTTCTCATATACTTGTAGAATCTTCATGATTGTTTTGCAAGATCGTGGGTGAGCATGGCAAAAAAACAGGGCATCATCGGCAAACAATAAATGGTTTATTGTTGGACCTGTGTTGCTTATTTTCATACCCTTGAGTCGATTTGTTGATGCGGCTGTTGTTAGAAGATGGCTTAGAACTTCGCCACAAAGAATGAATAAATATGGTGATAATTGATCACCTTGGCGAATCCCTCGTTCTGGCTTAATCAATCCTCGTGGTGAATCATTGATGAGCACAGAATAACTCACAGATTCAACACATGCCATGACCCATTTGATCCATTTTTCTTCAAAACCCATATGTATCATCGTCTCTCGCAAAAAATCCCATTCTAGCCGGTCATAAGCTTTGGAAATATCTGTCTTGACAATCATGTAGGATTTTGCCCAGCGTTTTCTTGATTTGAGAGAGTGGAGCATTTCATGTGCAATGATAACATTGTCCATGATATTCCTACCAGGTATGAAAGCAACTTGATTCTCTGAAATGATGGAGGACAGGTGTTTCTTCAATCGACCCACCAGTAATTGCATAAAGCAATTGGCCTAAAATCACTCATGGACCGAGGAATGTCTATCTTAGGGAAGAGACAGATATTGGTATGGTTAATAGAATCCGCCAAAGTAGCATTATCAAAGAAAGCCCGAACTTCAGTGATTATAGAAGATTTTATATCTGTCCAGAATTGATGATAAAAGGCACCCGTAATACCATCCGGACCCGGTGCACGATCTGGTCCAATGCCAAATACAGCATCTCTGATTTCATCTTCTGTAACAGATTTTGTTAAGTCCTCATTCATTGAAGCTGTAACTCGTGATTGAAAACCATGAAACGGACTTGAATAATCTTCCGTATTGCTTCTTGTGCTCATGAACAGAGAAGAAAAATAGTCTTCTGCAACTTGACCTATTGATGTATCACCTCGATGAATACAACCATCAGAATCTTCAATTGCCATAATACGATTCCTTGCTAGTCTGTCTTTGGCTACCGCGTAGTAGAATTTGGTGTTACGATCACCATGTTTGAGTCAATTGTTCCTACTTTTAAGCTTCCAGTATTGTTCTTCATCAATATATGCTAGTCCAAGGTTATTACTTATTAGTCTTTGGTGTAAGCATCTTCTACTGGTTCAATTAAATCGATTTTAAGGTTAAAAAAAAAACTTTTGAGGATTAAGAAGTATTTTTACAATTAAAAAAATCATTTACACCCTTTCAAATCTCTCAATCACCCACCTTAAAATTACATATCCTATCCCTTTTGAACCAAACCAAACCATCCCCAACATATACCAAATGGCAACTCAAGTGTATCTCTAATCTCTTTTTTTTTTTGTGTGTAAGAAACCTATTTTTAGAAACAAACCCATCTAACAAGGACAGTGAGAGAGAGAAGGGCTAACGATCTCAACCGTGCCTAATGATGATCATTGTTCATATCAGACGGTGGCAAGAAGCTCTCCAAACACAAACCACAAATATTAAAATCGACTTCCTCGATCCGCCATTTCTCCTCGATTCGTCTCCGGTGGTTAACCGCTCCGCCGTAGCGATACAACGTGGTCAAAGTTCGACCACCGTGTGCTATGTTGACCGAGTCAACGAACATGTAATCATCAATAGTTGACTCCATGCTCGTCTCCCAGAAAACGCCGTCGTTTTTGCCCCTAACGGATTTGACTCTCACGAGCTTCGTGTCACCGAACTTGACGAGTAGTCCCGTCCGTTGGCTAAAGTATCCCCACACCGTGTGATGAATCACCTCCGTGTTCGCCGAACACTGCGCCTTTAGAATATCTGCCGGCGTCTCTACCTTTAACACGAAGCAATCTTCTCCGTTCACTGTTTGTTCGCCGATGCAAACCGCGTCTAAGAACAGACTCGCCGTGCACCTCGGGTCTAGTCCCTGCCACGTTAGTCAAATAAAAATACAAACTTTAACATTTTTTACGACAACTCAAGATCCTAGCTTCGATTTGAATATACAATGAAATGGGTACCTGGAAAAAGCGTCGGAGAGGACGAGGAGGGCCACGGTGAGCTTGAGAAGGTTGAGTGGATGATTGGTTCCAAGCTACTTTGCCGTCACTACCGGCGCTGATTTTGAAACCAGAGACCACTAGCTCCAAGAACCAAAGGTTTGGATTCTTCTGCCATAAAACAAAACCTCCGACCTCGAAATTACCTTTTCCTAGCCGCACCGGCGTAGTCGTCGTCCCTTCGTCTTCTCCGGCAACCATCTCGGAGCCTTGCATCCTCACTTGTCCCACTGCGTACATGCTCTTCACCGCGTTCAAAGCCGCTGGACCTCCGCACGCCGCTACGTACTGCTGCACTATGTACTTAGCCGTCGACGCCTCCTACAAATCCACCATTACTATCAACATTAATCATCCTTTGTTCGTGTATCTGGACTTAAATATGTGTGTTTTGTAAAGTAAATATGTATCTCTTGAAAATTTGAAGATTAATAACCATTTACACAATTCATTTCTATACATTTTCTCTTTGAAACCCACGGAGATTCTAGGCTAATTAGCCTAATCACATAACTAATCTCATAGTTTATTAGTAGGATCTTCTTGTCATTTAAAAACGTTGAAATTAGCCACCTATAACTAAAATCGCAATCGGACTAAACCCACGTACAAAAACCTTCAATCAAATTAAATAACGTGGTTGGCTTACATCTATATATATGCATATGCAAACGAAAGCTAAACAAAAATTCATTGAGAAACTATATCCAAAAATTTAAAAATTCAATAATATATACATACGATGGAGGTGTCATTGATGGGACGGGAGAGACAGAACTCGAGAGGGACATGAAAAGGAATGAGAGGACTTCCCACGATCTTCAACAACGCCACAAACTCGTTGTCTGATTTTGATTGCAAATGCATATTCACATTACTCATCGACGACGATGACGCCGGCGTTCTAACGTCGGCCGCGACTGCGGTCACGACGGCATGTGCCTTCATGAGAGCGTGCATATTCCTCCACCGTCCCGTCGCGTTGCTTCCCATCTTCGTAAACATTTCTTCCGGCACCGGAACCTCTAACACCGTCTCTAACCCATCTTCTCTGTCCAAATTCGGACAAAGCTTCCTCATCTTCATAATTTTATAAAATTTTAAATTTTTTTTTTTTTTTAATTTGTTGTGTTTCTTGATGATCCGAGAGAAAGAGGGTATTAGGGTTTTCCTCTTTCTCCGAATTTTTATTACAGGGAGAGAGAACGATAGATTTTTAGAGGATCATGAGGATTAACTACAAAAAAAAAAAAACTATTCTTGATTTTGTTTCTTCTCATTTTCTGTTGGCCGGCTTTTATATATAACTAAGGTGCTCCTTGCTCGTAGCTATCGTGAGAACACGATTTCAGGAGGATCCATCTAATCTTTCTCTGTTTGTATTTGTAATACATATATAGAATCTTATACTGATGTGACATATGCACGGATTTAGGCTTTTGTGTCTCCATGAACGTTGACAATATTGATTGATTCACATTTAAATATGTGTATATACGGATATACATTATGGTCTGATTATGGTCGTGTGCTTCAAATATATACGTGGAAGACTTGTACTAGCTAGTTGAGGAATAAGATCTAATATGTATCGGAGTGGTTAGGCAGGAGACCAATGTTTATCGAATCTCTTTCTCTATTAGCAAATTAAATCTAGTTCTTATTCTAATTTTTTGCTCATTTAAAAACGGATCGGACTATTTCATATGTTCCCAATGGTTTAATCATAGATCAGAATTATGTAATCAACTTTTTATTTATTTAAACCGACAAATAAAGAAAGTAATGAACTGAAATAACAATTTTTTAATAATCGTGTGATGGTAAGAACATCACAGAATGATTTATAGGGACTTTCACATGATTATACTTAGGGCGGGCAAAATATCTGTTATATTTGTTTCGATCCGTTATTCGTCTTTTTATTCAATCCAAAAAATTTGGATATCCGTAATATTATGGAGCAAAGCAAATATTAAAATTCAATATCCGTTAACGGAGCAAATCACAAATATTAAAAAAATTTAAGACGGATATCCGCTCCGCTCCGTTATAAATAATATGTATATATAGATAGATAATAATTCATATAAAGTGTATAATTATTATATATAAATATATTTTTTGTGAATTTTTGTTTATAAATTTGATTATTATAAATATTAAAACTTAATAAGTTAAGGAAAAATTATTTTTTAAAGAAAATATTGTAATTTTTAGCTAAATTTTGAATTTTTAAAATTTAATTTTAAATATATTATTATTTAAATATTTTTGTAGGGCGGATCGAATATCCGACAAATATTTAGATTTTTAGCGGATATCTGGAAAACGGATATCCGAATAATTACGAAGCGAATACAGATCGGAAAAATGATTATCCGGAGCGGATCACGGATATCCCAAAATCCAATATATCCGCTCCGCGCCCACCATTGTTTACACTTTACAAGAATCTTCGAAAACAGAATTCCTTTTAGAGACAAAAATAATTTCTGAATGTTCAAAAACAAAAGACAATTATACTTTCTATTATTTTCTAAAAATTGAGATTTCCGACCTCTTGACCAAAAAAAAAAATAATAATAAATTTCCGACCATGAGCGGAGAAAATTCGCACTTTTTTTTAAAGCGAATTAGAGGCGCTAAATCTGAACTTTTTTGGCGCCAAAATCGTCCAAGCCATGTTCTATTTCCCCCTGGAACATATTTATCAGACAGTCTAGAATCCGTATTATTTTGGCCGGAGATTACCATAAGAGATGGATCGCGACGAGCAAATCTCCGATTTATGTACTGGATCTGAAAATTTTGGATTCGAAGTTGCCGAGAGGGAAGATTCGGGAAAGCCTGGATTGGAGTCTGCGAAGGGTTTCGATGGGTCTGAGGAAGAAGATGGGCTGCGATCTAATCTCGAGGGTTTGGGTGTGGATGATGGAATTAGCGCCAGGAAGGCTCTTGATTTTGATTTTGTGCCTGAGATTAATCCCGCGATTGAAGATTTGGGCGAGAAAGGTGAAGACGAAATCTCTGATTTGGAGACCAGAGAGAAAATCAGCGTTCCGGAAACGAAGGAAGCTGGAAAGGAGCGGCCGCTTTTCGAGACGAGTGTGCCTGAGTTTGATACCGTACTTGAGGAATTGGGCGAGAAAGGGGAAGACGAATACTGTGAATTGGAAACAGGAGATGAAATTAGTGTATCGGAAACGAAGGAAGCGGGAAAGAAGCGACCAGTTCTCGAGACCAGTGATAGTGAAGGAAAGGAGACCAAGAGAAACAAGAAGAGGAGCAAGAAGAATGTCGAGTTCGAGGAGCTACCAGTCTCTACTGCTTCCATGAACATGACTAAGAAGGTAACTCTCTATTTCTTAGTAGTTTCATCTTGAGGTAATCTTGCAATATTCGATTGTTTGTTACCTTCTCATTGGTACATTTGGTGTTACTGTTCTGTAGGAAAGAAGAGAATATCTTGACCAGCTTCGTGCAGAAAACCAGAGGCTCTTGCGAGGTATGATGCCTCAAAACACTTTTCAAGGAACTGAGTTTTTTTCTGTCACACTTGTCTACAGCTTGGTGCTGATTTTTTGTTTTCTTTTCATGATAGAAACTAGAGATGCTGCCTTTGAACCCGTCCCTCTTGTCCGAAAGCCCATTTCGTCTGTCTTGGAGAAAATTCGACGAAGAAAAGAGGAGATTACAAAGCAGTGAGTTTGATATATTCTCTTACTACTACTTCCACACCATAATTTTCTTTCTTAGTGACCGTGTTTGTGTGTCAACATTGATGCTGTTGGCAGATTCCTTAGCAGGAAGAAATCCAAATCTATTGGCATATGTGACAGTACTTATAGGGAGGATGTGAATGATTTTGAGGAAGTTGTAGCCGAAGAGGAGAATGAAGATATGAATTTGAAATTTACAAGCAAGCAAAACCCTGGAGAACAGGATTGCTTGGAAGACTCTACAGGTCCATCGGGGAAATCTGACAGTCCCTCTAACAAGAAAGCTGAAAGTAACCCTACTCATCAGGTGAGCTAACTTATTGTTAGATCCTTGCTTATATAGGAAGTTGTTTCTTTATTCGTTGAGTTGAGTTTGGTTTTTGAGGTTCTTAATTGAAGTCGTGTGCGATTTTTTAATGTTTAAATGCTCCTCCGGATCTATTTGGGAATTGAAAATGCAAAATAATGGGAACAGCTCGTTTCATTTTCAGTTTACAAATGCTAAAAGATGATCAAGTTGTTTAAAAGCTAGTTTGTAGAATCATACTTGACTCTCTCAGTTTTTGTTTTTTTGTTAGGATCCATCTAACTCTGGAGATGAACTTCTAGAGAAGGCGTCAAGCAGATCTTTGGAAGAAGTAATGACACCATCGGTACTTGCCATGAACCTCAAACTGAACCCGTCCCCTGCACCAAACAAGTGAGTTTATCTTTAGATCTGGTGACATGCGGAAACATAATCAGTTATAACATTGACATGCTCGTCTATCTAATATTGGGAAGTTTCACATAATTTAGTTTTCATGTGTTCGTAATACTTTATGGACAGATGTTAGTTTCAGTACATGAATCACTTGTGCTTTGTGACATAGTCAGCAAAGTCAATTGTTTTTGGAGACTTGAGTTATATACTGTATTTTTAGGCTTGCTTTCTATGGAATAACCAATTCACATATGCAGATCTTCTGAAGAAGCAAAGAACATTAAGGAAAATTCTGATCCTGAGACTGATTATTCATCTCCTGGGGACCCGGTTAGAAAATTTATTGATGAGGATGCTGAAGAGGAAGATAACAGTGACAATGATTTACTCCGTTTTGAGGATGAGGATGAAGACGAGGATGAAGAAGATGACGATCTCAGGGATATGATTGTCAGTCAATTTAAGGAAGATCCAACTGATAAAGATAGACGTAATGAACTACATCAGAAGTGGCTCGAGCAACAAGATGCGGCAGGGACAGAGAAGCTCTTACAGAAGCTAAAACGTGGTTTGCAGCAGGACGAAACATCTTTGTCTGCAGATGAAGATCACGATGCTGATGATGAAGAGAGGGATGAAGATGCTGATGATGAGGAAGTGCAAAAACCTGAAGGCAATGAAGATGAAGATGAAGATGATCCGTGTCATGCAAATTCCATGCGAATGAACATAAAGAAAATAAAGGAAATGATTCCTTTAATGTTCACAGATGAAGATGACGTCTATGTGTCATCTGACGATGAGGAAATGGAAAAGAAGCTCATGCAACAGCGATTGTACAAGAAAATGGTAGGTGCTCCTTATATCATCACGTGATCCACCATACCTGTATATTATGATAGATTGAAAAGCTTTGTTTGATATTTTTGCTTGTGCTGCCCCATAAATCTCACTCGTTGTTGTTTGGAACAGGAACAAAAGACCAAGTTTTCATCATCTACCGCGGATGAAAACTCTGAGGAAATTCTTCGCCACATCAAGAAGCCTGAGATCGTAAAGAAGGCAAAACCTACTTGTATGATGACACCAAAGTTTTTCCCTCTTTCCGTAATCATCAGCTGACTTATATACACATTGCTTTGCAATCAGTTTGGATCTATCGCGTATAATCAATTTGTTAAAACTGTTTTTCAGCTTTTAAAGAGAGGGCACTCATGGGAATAAACAAAAACCCCGCTGCATCCAAGGTATGTAAGCCTTCTTCCCGTAGGGAGGTCACTCTTTGATACTTTAGTTAAAGACAGGACAGGGAAGTGCAACTTACTCATGCTATGAATCTTTTGCAGTCATCCTTCTTGGGTAGACTTACAAAGAGCTCCATATCAGAAGGATCTCGCAAGCGTGGATCAAATATTGTACGTGGCTATATATTCGAACGTGATGACAGTAACAGCAAAAGCTCAAACTCAGCGCCAGAGGAACCTTCAGTTCCAGAGACGGTAAAGCTCTCTCTAAAGAAACACACTCATTCCATAAATATTTCTGGTACACACATTATTGTCTTTCTTCAAAACGTTTTGCAGATTATTCAAGAAAAGAGCCAACCAAGAAGAGCTCCGGCAAAATTCACCGCCTCACAGACACAGGAGAGATCAGCAACATTACAGGCGACGGCGGTGGAGCAGGAGAAGAGCTCGAGGCAACGAACAACCTTGTACGAGATTCTAAAAATGTCTTCAAAGAAAGCTTGCTTCACAACAGGCGAGACAGTGATAAGCAGCAGCCACACTGAGTCTATGTTTGCTGCATTCAAATTGGATAAGAAACTAGTGAAGACTACGAATTCACAAGTAAGTAAACACTCTCTTCCTCTAATTGAATGGACTTCAGATTCATGTCTATTTTGTGAAATCAGTTCTCCTATTTTCCAACTAAATATATCAGATATTTGTTTTAACAGGGAAAGAGATGAAATAAGTTAAAGCAAAAGATAGAAGAACTTTGGCAATGTGTTTTGGAAGAATCCAGGGTTTTGTCTTACTAGTGGCAATGAAACTGCACGTGTGATGAACATGAATCACCGGATCATGTCGCTTTGTGTTTGTGTGGCCGCCCTAAACGGCGGTAGGACCGTGCGTTTTGGGCCTTTCCTCGTCAGATTCAGTAGTCACTCTCAAAGTACATAGGGTATTACTGTAACTACATAGACTTTAGTGGGAGGATTGGATCATCCATCGTATTCATTCCAATCTTTAATAATTTTAAGTTTTCTAATACTACAGTTTAAAGAGTTCTAAACTATTTCGTATATGGATAAAAAATACTCAACTATCAATCAACTATCATCCATTAACAATTAATTATTATTTTTTCTTCAAAGTTCAAACAGTTTTAGTCACATGTATTTTTTGGTCGATAGTCACATGTAGTTTTAATCTGTATAAAATATCTCTTAACCTGTTGTTTGAAATTATAAAAAAAATTTGACAAGAAAAAAAACAGCGTCCTTTGATCCCCAAAATAAAATCTAGAGGACATACATAATCTTATTTTTCCTTCTCTCCCTCAGCTTGCTGAGACTGAAGAAGACCAAAAGAATTTCGGACAGAGATCACAAATTTGACAAATTAGTTTTCTTTTCTTGTTTGACTTCCAAAAGAAAATCTCAGATAGATTCCGGCCGCATAAATCTTCTTGCTTTCAGATCTGAATTCACCATCTCCAATAGATCTCTACATAAATGGCGGTTACTTACTGATTTCAGGGGAACAAAAGAGACCCTTCTGCATCTTTCTTTTGCCCACTTTAATGGCGGATTCTCGAAACGGCAAGTCCTTCTTCTTCTGCTTCTCCTTCTTTGTCTCGCTTTTGCTTTTCCTTTCGCCTGATATATCCCCGGTTGTCGCCGCTTCCGAATCCGATCCGATTCCATACGAGAACAGAGATGCTTCTTCTAGAGTCGTTACCGGCAGCGAATACAACGGGCAAGATGTTTCGTTGCATAGACTGGAGGAACTAGTTAGGAACCTTACGGAAGTAGTTGCTAGATTAGAAGCTAGGCTATCTGAAACGCCGTTTAAGGGAAAGAACGAGATCAGTCGTGGAAAACCCGGTGGTGAGATCGAAGAAGAAGGGTTCAGAGAGAAAGCTAAGGCGTTTTCCGTGACAAAGTACAGTCCTTTCTGGTCCGAGAGATTCGAGTTCACATCGGCTGTGAAATTAGATTCCGATGCGACTTGTGTCAACGTGTTGCCGTTTCGAGATTACGAAGGTTTAAGCAAGTATTTCGCAGTTGGGGATTCAAATGGTAAGGTCTACGTGTTCTTGAGAAATGGTGATGTTTTGGCCGAGTTTTTCACCACCTGTGATTCACCAATCACGGCAATGGTTTCTTACATGTCTCCGTATAAGAACGAGAGCTTTGTGGTGACGGGTCACCAAAGTGGAGTCATTTTGTTGCATAGACTCCGAGAGGGCTCCATAGGGGAAGATTGGAATTCCGCTGTGATGGAAAACGTTGGCAAGTTTGATGGCACGGAGGATGGTTTGCAAGTGACTTTATTGGAAGTGCATCATGTGGGTCGGGTTAGGTATATATTAGCGACGGATCTTAGTGGAAAGCTCACTGTTTTCACTGAGAACAGAACGGTTTATGGCTCTGTTACCCCAACGAGTAGACCCCTAGTGTTCTTGAAGCAGAGGCTTTTGTTTCTCACCGAGACTGGTGCTGGTTCTTTGGACTTAAGAAGCATGAAGATCAGAGAATCCGAGTGTGACGGTTTGAACCATTCTCTGGCTAGAGCTTACGTTTTCGATTCCTCGGAACGGTCTAAAGCTTACGGATTCACATCCGAAGGCGAAGTCATTCACGTATTGCTTCTTGGTGACATCATGAACTTCAAATGTAGAGTGAGGTCAAAGAAGAAGGTTCAAATGGAGGAGCCTGTAGCGTTACAAGCCATCAAAGGGTATCTTCTTGTAGTCAGCCAAGAGAAAGTCTTTGTATACAATGTATCGACTCAACATTATGTTCGAACCACCGGTCCTCGGCTTCTTTTCCCTGCTGCACTTGAAGATATTAGGTCAACGTTCCTGAGCCATAGAGAATCATCTAAAACCAATCACCGGAAGCTCGAGAAGGTAACTCCTTTGATAGCCAGTGACCGGGAAAAGCTTCTTGTGATGGGTTTAGGAGACGGATACGTCGCTACATACAAATCAAAGCTTGTGATTTCCAAAGGAGAATTCAACACAGTGCTTTGGAGCAGCCCTGTGTTCTTCTTCATACTGTTTTTATTCGCCGCTTGGCATTTCTTCGCCAAGAAGAAAGAATCTCTCACAGCTTGGGGACCCGACGATCCTTTCGCCTCCACGACGGTACCTTCTTCTTCCTCCAGTGGCGTAAACAGTTCAGCAACAGAACGTTCTTTCTCTGAGCCATCTAGGAGAAATGATGATCTCATGGATCTTCGAAGAAGATACGTTTCGCCATCTCGGTACCCTCCTGGAGCAGCAGCAGGTACTTACCGGTCAGTTGTCTCTAACGACCCGAGCTCGAGAGCTCCTCCGGTGGAATCTACTAACTACAGAACAACCGCACAGGAGATGAAGTATCGTGGTGGGTCAGGACTTGATTCAGGTGGGTTTGGTAATAGAAGAGAGAGCTTGTTTGGTACTAACAAAGCTTTAGACGACCAAAGTTAAGGCCTCCTCTTTATTTTGTATTTTATTTTTTGCGGTTTTTCTGGTTATTCTTCTTCTTTTTTACCGGTCAACGCTTGAATTTTTTTTGTATTGTGTAAAACTCCGGCGAAGAAATAAAAATTTTACCGGTAGCATTGTTTCTTCGTTTGGGCACATCTTGTTAGTTTAACTCTTCTCGATTTGAATCGCACTGTCGTTTTCATTTTCTGTCCCTCCATATCAAGATCAGATTAAAAATGATAACTTTTCGATATATTTTATATTTTCAAGATCCAATATTGAAGCAGAGAGACTTCAGACTTGGGGTAGTAACTAGTAGTAAGTCAAAATATGGCTGTGTCCTTCATCTTCAATCATCTTTTCTTCGTCTTCGTCTTTTTCTTTCTTCTTGTCTTCAGATTCGTTTACAGTAATCTATGGGTCCCTTGGAGAATCCAATCCCACTTCAAGAGGCTACGCGTGACGGGCCCTCGTTACCGGATATTCACCGGAAACTCCTCTGAGGTGAGCCGATTAACGACGGAGGCGAAAGCAAAGCCGATCCCTTCCGGCGACAATCCTCATGAGTTCGTCCACCGCGTGGCGCCTCACTACCACAAATGGTCACGTGTCTACGGGAAGACGTTTCTCTACTGGTTCGGGTCGAAACCGGTGGTTGCCACGTCGGATCCGAGACTAATCCGGGAAGCTTTGACGACGAGCGGGTCGTTTGATCGAATCGGGCATAACCCTTTGTCTAAGCTGCTTTATGCTCAGGGTCTTCCTGGTCTTAGAGGCGATCAATGGGCTTTCCATAGAAGAATCGCCATTCAAGCTTTTACCATGGATAAAGTCAAGGTACACACATCAATCGCTAAGCTCCCGTAATTTGAATATTGAATCCATCTAGTCTAGCTTGAAGTTACTAAATCTGAGTCTTGGTATCAAGATTTCTATCTCGTGTGAACCCTCTATAGTATTGTGATATTAAAGCTGAGATCTTTTTACAGAGGTGGGTGCCGCAAATGGTGACAAGTACTATGATGTTGATGGAGAAGTGGGAGGAGATGAGAAATGGAGAAGAAGAGATTGAGTTAGAGGTACACAGAGAGATACACAATTTGTCTGCAGATATGTTATCAAGAACAGCTTTTGGGAACTGTGTGGAAGAAGGGAAACAAATCTTTTCGCTGCAGGAGCGTATGATGCGTCTCTTCTATCTAGTTCGATGGAGCATTTATATCCCCGGGTTCAGGTAAGTCCTATTGAGATACTTCCTCCTAGTTTTAGAGAACAAGTTTGTAACAAGAACTTTCAAAATGGTGGTTTAGATTCTTCCCTTCCAAGACTAATAGAGAGATATGGAGGATCGAGAAACAAATCCGTGGTTCTATTCAGAAACTGATCAAGAACAACAAAACAACAGCCGCAGAGAAATCAGGAACTCTGCTCCAGGCTTTTATCTCTCCTTACACGAAACCGAATGGCCAAGAAGAGAAGCTTGGGATTGAAGAAGTTATAGATGAGTGCAAGACCTTCTACTTCGCAGCTAAAGAAACAACTGGTGATCTTATGACATGGGTTCTAGTCCTCTTAGCTATGCACCAAGAATGGCAGAACATTGCTCGGGAAGAAGTCATACGTGTCGTCGGACCAACCGGGCTACCCACTCCAGATATCGTACAAGACCTCAAAACTGTAAGTCATTTAGCTTCCAACTTAAGAATGGTTTTAAGAGACACTGTAACTTAAACAACACACTCATTTATATAACAGCTAGGTATGATAATCAATGAGACTCTCCGGCTCTACCCTCCAGCGATGACACTAAACCGTGACACTCTAAGGAGAGCTAAGCTTGGGAACCTTGAGATTCCTGCAGGAACTCAACTCTATTTATCAGTCATCGCGATGCACCATGACAAAGAAACATGGGGAGACGACGCTGAGGAGTTTAATCCGCGTAGGTTTGAAGATACCAGGAAAGAATCCGCATTGCTTGTGCCGTTTGGGTTAGGTCCTAGGACTTGTGTGGGCCAGAATCTTGGAATGGTTGAAGCCAAAACGGTTCTGGCTACGATTTTGAGGCATTACAGTTTCAGGTTATCTCCAAGTTATGCACATGCTCCTGTTTTGTTTGTGACCTTGCAGCCTCAAAATGGTGCTCATCTTCTCTTTACTAGGATTTCGAGTTAATAGACTACGCAATGTACCGGTTTGTAACGGTTTAGTTGGGATTTTCAGTTCAGATTTAAGCTCTCCTCTCTATTCTCATTAATGAAAGGGTAAAATCGTCAAATCACGTAATTTATTAGAGCTCTACTCTATATGTATATTTTTTTTGTGAACATTACAATTGTAACTTAGATATCTTCTTCTTTCCAATCCCAAAAATTCTGCAACACCTAAAATCACCGATTCTGTGTTCAAATACTGCGCGGGAAAAAAGACTGTTAATTTTTGTTTACTTCTGCTCTGAGATACATATATTAATTGAAAAAATACGTTGTGAGGCAAGAAAAAGCGTCAGCAGAAAATACGCACTCAAGCTGTTCGACGAAATTCCGAAGAGAGACTTAACACTATAGGAAATGCCACTAGAACCGATTCGAATCTTGGGGAAAATCGCAGGCGTGATAGTTGGCGGGTTTGTGATCATAAATGTGGTTTCTTCAGCAGCCATAGGCGCATTTCAATTCACTGTTGAGGAGAAACGGAAGAAAACTGGATTGGCTTGTCGAGCGTGTCGTGGGAAAGGGTTTTACATATGCAAGTTATGCAAAGGAAACGCAACGATAAAATGGTCGCCATTGTATGATCCAGTTTGTATCAATCCATGTCTTTGCCCTACTTGTGATGGTTACAGGTTTGTCTACCTTCTCTTTCTCCATTTTTTCTAACTCTTTCGATTTCTCTGCATTTTTCACTGCAAATCTGTACAGAGAACAGAAGTCTGAACATGATATGAAAATCTTCTCGTATCTGATTGTTCTACTAGACAAAACCAAACCAAGAAAGAAAAAAACTAAAACTTTGGTTTCTCTTTGTTTATTATTGCAGGGTACAACGATGTCTCAACTGCATAGGAAAGGAATATTGTTGACCGCTTTAACTCTCCCTTGGGCTTACCATTTGATCATCTTTGAGATTTCAAAAAGCTATAAAAAAAAACGGTTTGGTTGGTGTTCTGTGTTCAATGCTGTCAAAACTGTTTACTGTTTAGTGTCTGTGTTCAATGCTTTGAAATAGTTTTATAAAATTTGGTTGTCGAGAGTTTGGCAAAAATTTTGCCTAACCAAGTCCACACTCAACAAGTAATCGCTACATATTATAGAGGTAATTAGCCGCAACCTAACTAGACCATTTTTGAATGGTGTCTTAATGTAATATTATAAAACACACTTATCTCTCCTCTCTTTTTAGTTTGGTAGTATGTTAAGATGACATTTGACCAAGAATAACTACTTTAGAACTACAAGTCAAGATATATTGTGGAATTAATTATTTTCTTGCATAAATCAGTAAGAAGTTAATAAAAAGAAATGGACAATAGATCAAACATTAAATGAATCTATCAGAAGAGTAATTAATGAAACCAAATGAATGGTTAAAGAGGCTCATAAAAGATTAAGTTTACACGAGACAAAAGGATTTGATCTGAGAAGAGAAGAAAGAAAGGGTTTATCAATTTGGCTACTGCGTCTTCTCTTTTTCTCTTTTCGGAAGAGGTCAAATGCCAATGCCGGGTCGTAGAGACAGAATCCATCAACTCCGAGGATCTCGAATTGCGATAGCCATCATCGTCGGAATCCTTATCGGCTGCGTCTGCTCCGTCTTGTTCCCCAACGGCTTCTTCAACTCTGGATCATCGTTGACAGCAAACCAACGCCTTTCGAAATCGACCTCTCAGGTACTTTTTCCCTAAATGCATGTACATCTATAACTTTTTTGAAAAAGAGGTGCATATTATAGCTCTCGATTTGTGATCTATGTCCTGCGCAAGCTTATTATTACAGGCATTGAGTTGATTTCTATGGGGAATGCTGGAAAACCCTTTGATGGTGTTGTGTTCGTTAATTCCTAGTTCATTGTTGAAGTTTGGATACGATAGCCGATATTAGAACTGTATTTGAGAATTAAAGCCTCTTGCTTTGTTTTAATCTTTATCGATTACTGCGTAATGATTACAGATCGAATGGTTCAGTCATCACGTTGAGTCCATTGTCTTGAAATTTTGATGTCGAAAAATTTCAGTCCTCATCATTTGAACTGGTGAAGTTTCATCCTTTCTCTGTTTTTCTTTTCAGGTTGGATCGGCTGCATGTGAATCGCCTGAACGGGTCAAAATGCTGAAATCAGACTATGCGTTGATCTCGGAAAAGAACGCCGAGCTAAGGAAGCAGGTCAGAGAGCTAACAGAAAAGGTACGGTTTGCTGAGCAAAATACAGAAAATGCGAGGAAACAAGTCTTAGTTTTGGGATCAGAGATCAAGGCCGGGCCTTTTGGAACTGTCAAGAGTCTGAGAACTAATCCAACCGTGGTTCCTGACGAGTCTGTTAACCCAAGATTAGCCAAGCTGTTAGAGAAAGTAGCTGTCAATAAAGAGATCATTGTGGTTCTTGCAAACTCAAATGTGAAACCAATGTTGGAGTTGCAGATTGCTAGCATCAAGAGAGTTGGTATTCAAAACTACCTCGTTGTCGCTTTGGATGATTCCATGGAAAACTTCTGTAAATCGAATGAAGTTGCATATTACAAGAGGGATCCAGACAAAGCGGTGGACATGGTTGGGAAAAGCGGAGGTAATCACGCTGTTTCCGGACTGAAATTCCGCGTCTTGAGAGAGTTCTTGCAGCTTGGTTATGGTGTTCTTCTGTCGGACGTGGACATTGTCTTTTTGCAGAACCCTTTCCTTCATCTGTACAGAGACTCTGATGTGGAGTCCATGAGCGATGGACATAACAATGGGACGGCTTACGGGTTCAACGATGTGTTTGATGAACCATCCATGGGATGGGCTCGGTATGCTCACACGATGAGGATATGGGTTTTCAATTCCGGGTTTTTCTATCTAAGACCAACTCTTCCTTCAATCGAGCTGCTGGATCGTGTTGCAGATACACTATCTAAGTCAAAGGCATGGGACCAAGCGGTTTTCAATGAGCAACTCTTTTACCCTTCGCATCCTGGTTACACTGGGTTACACGCCTCCAAGAGAGTCATGGATATGTACGAGTTCATGAACAGTAAGGTCCTCTTCAAAACTGTGAGAAAGAATTATGAACTGAAGAAGTTGAAGCCGGTGATTGTTCATCTGAATTACCATCCAGATAAATTAAACCGAATGCAAGCTGTGGTGGAGTTTTACGTTAATGGCAAGCAAGATGCGCTTGATAGCTTCCCAGATGGTTCTGATTAATCAAGGGATCTGATGCTTGTTAAGTAAGATATCTGGATCTTCTTCTTCTTCTACATCAATGGCAGATTCTGCTTGGGGAAAAAGGTAGGCTAGAACTTAGATTCAGTTTCCCATATCTGTGGCTATAAACTTAGATTCAGTGCTCCTTCTGAGCTTCTGTTTATTCTTATCTTCTGTACTAAGAGTTTTAGTGTATCCCATACTCTTAATTTCACTAATCAAACATTTGACTCAGCATTATCTTCTGACCACCAAAAAAAAAAATTGTGTGTGAGAGAGAGAGACAAAAAAAGAAGAAGAAAGAAGGAGAGACAGAGAGAGTGTAAGGTTTTGGAGTTATATGTATTTTATCCACAAAGAAGACCTTAAGATTCTTCTCTCTGTAATAACCGAAAATCGCTTTTGTGGCTTCAAATCAAATGGAACCCCACACTTACCTCTCTCTCTTTTGTCTCTTTCTAGAAGCTTTGTTTCATCCTTGTGTTTTCCTCTGTATCCCTCTCAGAACAAGCTGCAATTTTCTGTTTCTGCTCTGTCAAGTTTCGTTTGTGCTATGCAAAGCGTAGAGACCGTTCTTGCCGACGGCGATGACGTGGACATCGACTTCGGAGACGTGTTTGGTGGTCCGCCTAAAAGACGTTCCAAGGTTAACGAAGTCACTCGACATAGCTTCAGCGAAACAGCTCTCAGGCGGCGTGACGTCATCGTCGACAACAGCGCGCTGATTCCCCGTGACGACTTTTGGGACGGAAGAGACGAGAAGCCTGTCTTCGGCGAAGATCCATCCATCCGGCGTCGTTTCACGGCTGATGATTTCTTCGACGATATTTTCAGAGTGAAAGAATCATCATCTTCGCCGCCGAAGAAGACGAAGAACGAACGCGAACCATTCGGGTCATCACTCCCGGGTTCTCGGATCCTTAGCCCGGCTCGTCCTATCCCTCACAAAGCCGAATCTCCTGGGACTTCGTCTCCTGCACAATTCAGGTTCTGTTTTTTTCTTTGCTTACTATTTCAACTAGTTTGATAATCAAATGATCAAAATTAATAATTGGATATGATTTGTGTTCCTCAGCCTTCCTGCAAAACTAATCAAAGCAACAGAGATTCCCACATTTGGTCCAGCTACTCGTAGTTTGAGCAAGAACAGAGAGACTGCTTCAAGCTCTCCTTTGTCAAGAACTTCGAGCAAACCCGATATGGTGGCCTCTACTACTAAATCAGGTTCAGATGTTTGTGGTTCTGCTCCAGGAGTTGTGTCTGGGAAAGGCAGACAGTTTCACTTCTCCATCTACAAGTGGCCTAATAAAGGAGTTCCTGTTGTCATCTGGGGCAGTTCAAGATTGAGCTCTATGGCTAAAGCTGAGGAAACAACACCGAGTGGTTTGCAGCACTCTACTTCAGTTGAGAAAGCTGTTAAAGATGAAGAAGGAGAGAGTGCTTTCTCTGATTTGAAAGAGAAAAAGAAGACCTCGCAAAAGCGTCCTGTTGTTCAGACAGAAGAAGAAAAACCAGATATCGATTTGATGTCTGATCAGGCCTTCTCTGGTGTGTCAAAACAGCAGGAAGCTAATGTGAAGCCTCTCCATTCAATTTTCCATGATAACGATGAGATACAAGGTTGGTTTCTGCATACATATATAAATGTTTGGTTTGGTTTAGCTTCCTTTTGTGTGACACTGTTTTGTTCTTTTGTTATTTCAGGTGAGGATATAGTATTAGACAGGGAAGTGAAAAAAGGTAAAAGCAAAGCGAAAAACATGCGAAGCTCTGCTGGAGGAGATTCAAGAAGCAAGAAGAAACCACAAGGCACGAGAAGTTCTCTGGATACCCCAAAACCCGATAAATCCAGCTTTGCAAGTTCATCATCAGCAACAGAAGTTGGCAAAGATGGAGTCAAAGGAAAAGTGATGGACTTTGTTAAGATTTTCAGTCAAGCAGCTTCAATTGGAGCAGGTGGGGAAACTCTTGGAAAAAGCTCTAGATGGAGAGCTAAAGAAACTTCCATGACTGATATCAATCATGACGCAGCTTATGCCAAGGAAACTGTAAACATTCCTGATCAACAAAAGAAATCGACTCCAGATATTCCCGTTGTGGTACCTTATCCCCCAATCAAGATCTTTCTTATGTTTCTGTGAGTTTCTTGGTTTGTGATTACCTACCCGTAAATAATCTACTTACAGGATCGGGATCAGAAACCTTCACAAGAAACTCAGAAAAAGGAATCAGATCGAGTGAGCATGAAAAATAATAAGGCTACTAGTGTTACTGAACAAGAGGAGAGACAGGAACCAAGCACAGGTAAGTTCTTGGATTGGTATTTTGAGTTTTAAATCCTTATTATCACTTTACAACTAAATAACATCTGAGTTTACCTTGTTTTCTTCTCTCAGTACATACTAGCTCAGAGGATATAGACGAGCCCTTCCATGTAAATTTCCTGGTAAACATAACATTATGTACTTCAGCCTTCAAGTTTCAATAACTTTTACGTCTCTCTTTACAATTGGCGTGGAACTTGTAACGTGCTGCGCAGGTGGAGGATATAACACAAGAAGAGGAGAAACTGGAAGAAACCAGAAATGATGCTGAAGAAATCCAGGTAATACTACAGCAATAACAATGAGATATACTCTTTATTTTTTCCAATACTTTAAGCCTGGAAAAAAAGAGCCTCAAAGTTAAAAAAACAAAACAATCTCGGGAACCTCTACAGAACATCGATGCGAAAATCCGCAAGTGGTCAAGCGGGAAGAGCGGAAACATTCGGTCTCTCCTGTCCACGCTGCAATATGTAAGTATTGTATTAAAGGGTATAATACATAGCATTATTAAGTCTCTGTAATATACAACTAATGAATGTGGAAGTTTTACAACACAGATTCTTTGGACCGGAAGTGGGTGGAAACCGATACCTCTCATGGATATGATAGAAGGAAACGCGGTTCGAAAATCGTACCAGAGGGCATTACTAATCCTTCATCCAGACAAGCTACAACAGAAGGGTGCTTCTGCAAACCAGAAATACATGGCTGAGAGAGTTTTCGAGTTATTACAGGTTTTTTGTTTACTAATATCTCACTAACAAATAACGTTTTTGACAAAAAATACTAACAAACATCGCACTAGTATCTTTTGAGTCTGAGTCGTTTTTGTTTGGTTCAATATTATAGGAAGCATGGGACCATTTCAACACTCTCGGACCGGTTTAAAGGAAGACGAATCTTATTTAGTCTTTTAGTTCTTACACAAAAGGCTATGCAATTATAAAAGTGTACAGTTACAACAGTTTTGAATCAAAAGATGTTTGCAGATTGTCACAGACTCGTTTACGTACACCGACTTTTGTTTGTTTTCTCTCTGTGATCACAAAAATGCTTTAAAAGGGGATTAAGTAACGTACGTACGGAGTTAGGGCCATATAATTAATTGGGCTAGGCCCATCAAAGATGATTTTTGTGGTTAGCCGTTGGAAAGAAAAGGAAAAGAAACAGCAGGCCAAGGGTGAGGTTGAGGTGGAGTTGGTGCGTTGGGATGGCTTTTACGATTCTTTTTCTTAACGGTAAGCTACTTTTAACTTCTACTTAAAGCTTTTGTATTTCCCTTGTTTACCCCTCACTCGTATTCCAACACCACACACACTTCACCAAATTAGACTCTGACTCTCTGCCCACCTTTAAATGACCTTTCTACCCTCCGTTAATCCATCAAACTAGTAACTAAACATCAATAATGCTACAAGATTATATATTGTAGCAAAGGATTATTCATATAAGCTTTTCTATGGGGTCACACACGTGTTATGTAAGCTTATATAGTTTGTGTTTTGGACTAAATGGTGAACACTACAGAAAAAGGCATGGAATAATAAATAATAACTGAAATAGAATTTGATAAAATTCTCTGATTCTTTCTCTCTCTAATTTTTTTTCTAAACCCCATGGTGAAATCTATTTTATAATAATAAATAAAAAAGAGCGGTCAAATCAACATGGTTCATTTACAATCATTGTACTTGCACTTCTTCGAGAAGCCAAAAGCTCTGTGAAAGAGCACGAGCTACTGGTGGCAGTTAATTCGAGGTCGGAGTAAATAATGTACTACTACAGTTGTTTCGTTAATTTTACTGTATATATGAGTTTCAAAGTCATAAAGCATGAGCGGACTTTGGTGCATTCTCCAAAAACATGTTTTTTAAAGCTTAACCCTCTTACTTCTTTAAAACTCCACAATTAACCCCACTAAATAATACTATTATGTTCTAAAACGACAAGCGCGGCAAACTTAATCAGGAATTAATGACAACAAAAAGCGTAATATTCACGGCTTTAACCATTTATTGGTGTCCTTTTCTGAAACCAAGAACATTAACAGAGAAGATTAACAGACACGTAAGCAAATATTCACCGGCTATTACCGGTTACAGCCACCCTTTTAAGTCCCTTTGTTGTTGTTTGTTACCGTTCTGTTTTTAAAAACCTCCGATTCATTCTCTTACTCTTCTCTTCTCCTCTCTCTCTCTCTCTCCATCTCTCTCTCTCTCTCTCTCTCTCTGATCCCATCTTTCTCATTCCTTAATTTTCTCTTTCCAAATTTACCCTCACATTTCCTTCGAATTCTCCATTCTCTATCATTTCTTTAAGCCACTCAAGCTTCTCAGATGTCTGTGGTCACCTCTAAGCTTCGTTCTCCAGTTAAACCTATGGTCGAGTCACGAGCCATCCTCTGTTCGACCGGCAACAGATTCAGGGTTTCCAAAACAGAGATCGCGAAGAAGAAGCCACAGCAGCATCCACGAGTGACGAAATCTCCGGCGAGTGAGAATCCGCCGGATTCCTCCGTGACGAGCAAGAGCAACTTTTCAGCATCAACTGATGATTCCTCCTCCTCCTCGTCATCCTCGGAACGTTCATCGGTGAAGACGGCAAACTCCGGGAAAACTGTTACTCCGTCGAAACGGAACGGATCAGTCAGGAAACTCAACAATGTCGCCGCCGTCGCCGCCGTTGAGGACATTTCTCCTGAAAATCCGGGACCGGTTAAGAGATGCCATTGGATCACACCTAATTCAGGTCTGTTTGTCTGACAACTTTTTTTTTCTCCTTTGCCACACATTTAACTTTAATTTAAATTCCTTTTTTTCCTCTCTATTTATTTAGTGAAAAATACTGTTTTTCTCGTTTTTGAAACGCAATAATTTCGTGAATAACGAGGAGGAGATGGTGTTTTTTTTTTTTTTTGCTTTGTTAAAATGCTTTTTACCCAATGTAGAGACTTTCTTGTCCTCGCACATTTAATAATTTTGCAAGAATTAACATACACTTGCCCAGTTTCTTCCCTAAGAAATATCTCAATCGACTTCATATTGGAAGCCATGTGAATGGCTTTCTTTATGGCTTTCGAAATGTAAGAATTTTTTTATTTATTATATAGTATGTGTTAAATATTATTGGTAACAATCAGTTTCATAGATGATAGATGTCAACAACACATTAATTGCAAACATTACAAAAACTAGGTCTTGTAGTTGAGTATAAAGACAAAAAAAAAATGGTTGAAAATATTGATGGATTCATAAGTTTTTTTTTGTGTGGCTAATACAAATATAATGATGACGATTGATGAACAACAGACCCAATCTACGTGTTGTTCCATGACGAGGAATGGGGTGTTCCTGTTCGTGACGACAAGAAACTCTTCGAGCTGCTTGTCTTCTCACAAGCATTGGCTGAGCTCAGTTGGCCTTCAATCCTTCACAAAAGAGAAGCCTTTAGGTCATATTCTGCTCATATTTTGAAGAAAAAGAGAAGACACTTTGTTTTGTATTTTGTTTAGGTGTAATATCAGAAGTTTTTGGTTTCTTTTCACAGGAAGCTCTTTGAAGATTTCGATCCTTCAGCTATAGCACAATTCACAGAGAAGAGGTTGATGTCTCTTAGAGTAAATGGGTGTCTCATTTTATCCGAACAGAAACTGAGAGCCGTTGTAGATAACGCAAAATCGGTTCTCAAGGTAGATTGATTGTGTGTGTTTGCTAAACAAGTTTGTGAATATTGTGTGTTGGAAACTTATTTGAAACAGCTTCTGGTTGTAAATTGAAAAAAAAAAAACAGGTCAAACAAGAATTTGGATCATTCAGCAACTACTGTTGGAGATTTTTCAATCACAAGCCTTTAAGAAATGGATACCGCTATGGTCGTCAAGTACCGGTTAAGTCTCCAAAGGCAGAGTACATTAGCAAAGATATGATGCAGAGAGGGTTCCGCTGCGTTGGTCCTACTATCATTTATTCCTTCTTGCAGGTCTCTGGCATTGTCAATGATCATCTCACAGCTTGCTTCAGATACCAAGAATGTAATGTTGAGACTGAGAAAGCACCAGAAAGTCCCGAGACTGAGACCGAACTGGATCTGCATTCTCCATGATTTGTTTAACCAGCAGAAGGGATTGGATTGTTAAGACGATGACGATGACTAGAGTTTGTATGCATTATGATAATGTAGCATCTGTAGCTAGCTGTGTTCATTGGGTTGTGCTTTTCTTCTAGCTAGCTTTGTCTAACTAGATATTTGATGATGTGGGTTAGTTTTTGACAAAAATATTGAATTGCAGGGAAATAAAGAATATACATTTTGTAAAAAGCATATGTTCTGCAAATTTTGGATTTTGATGCTGAGAAGCACAATGTGCTGAAGACATGATACATCACTAATCAATTTGACAAGACAAAGACACAAAACAGTTTCAAACCACTAATTAATTTAACAGTTGTAACGGAACAGAATAATCATACATCTTAAAATTTCTTATCTACAAATAATGCTTTTGAAAACCAAATTCATGAATTAAACAACGACACTAACACTCCAAACTCCAATGCTTACATGGAGAAGGCTTTTTTGCCGCATATTTGGATAGTAAGTGAAGAACCATATATGAAGATCCAGATACTCAAGAAGAATAGCTTCTCACAATCAATCAACCATGAGCTTTACCGTTTCCAAGTGTAAGCTCCAGATCCTCCATACCGACATCATGTATCCTTTCTCCTTCCCAAGGCTTAACTTGACTGTTCTCAAACTTAAATTCAGAGCTTTGGCCAATCTCTTGGAGCGCAGCAGCATTTGGAGACATATGCTGAGGTGCGGGAGGTTTCACAAGATTGAAGGTAGGAGAGGTTGGCACCATAGATGCAGAGAATGGCTGTTGTTGTGCAAACTTCTGAAAGCTTATCCAATGACCAGAATCAACAGTCGAAGAGTCAGACTCGTCACATTCAGGTATAGTCGCCGGAGTATGAAATGGCCGATGAGTCGGACTAGCAGGTGCAGAAACAGCATAGAAAGGATAGTTAAAAGAAGACATCGACTGTTTAGCGATTGCCATGGACTGCTTAGCGATAGATTCCCAGTTAGGCAAAGGTTTAGGATTCTTGGAAGTTGGAGATGTTGAGAGTGGTGGAGTAACGGGGCAGCTGTTTGAGATTCTGAGGGAAGGAAGAGAGGAAGGGATGCCACCATTTCTGATGAAGGGGAAGAATGTGGAGATGTTGTTGTTGGCTTCACCACGGGAAGGACTCGGGAAAGAAGAGGAAGATGGGCTGACTTGGTAAGAAGGTATGGGACTTTGAAAGGCTGAAGAAAGAGGGCTCTGGTTTTGTGATGAGTATGGCGTCACTCGAGACGATGTTCCACCTATCTCACCAGGTTGAGGCCTGCATCCCTGATTCTCCAATCAAACATCACAACAATGTCACAATCAATCTAAGGGAATGAAGAACAATGCAAAGACCATGGATCAGGTATCACAGATACAGATTAAGACTTGAGCATATACTAATAGCTCAAGAAGTAGACCTAATGAAAACCAAGAAAATAGAAGAAATGGGGATCTCAACTACCACAATTCCCATTTTAGTTCATTAGACAAAAACAGCAAAATCCACATGCTTTGGAACTCCTAAATGGGGATCTAAAACTAGTTATAAAAAGTACTAACAACCATTAAGTTAAAGAATGTCCTAATTAGGAATCTAAAACTAGTTAAAACTCCTTATCAAACACATTTCACACTGAAATTAGTAAGAAAAGCCTTAAATTCACTTTCAGAGATTAGATCCATATATAGAGATGCTCGTGATCTTAAAGAAGCTAAAGCTACTTGTTATTTCCAATTTTCTTTCCAGGAATTTAATTTCTCGCCTTATAAAGCCAGAATAATCAGATTCAAGCCCCTTAAAAAACGCAATTGAAACCTACCAATTCAGATTTTCAACATCTAAACATAGCCAAGCTCAGATCTGATAAGTTTTGAGATTGTTTAAAGGAATCACCTTGCGATAAGTGGTGCCATCTTCTTCAACAACCCAACCAGCTTCAGCACAGAGAGCCTTGAGCACCTCATTGTTATCGCAATGTTTGGGAAGATTATAATCGCCTTGAGCTCTAAGCCCTGTGTATATCTTCGCAGCTACGGCTCTCCTCCGTCTCTCTCTCCTCCGATTGTTCTCCCTCTCTCTCCACGACGGTTTCCTCCTCGCCGCCGCCGCCGCAGCAGCTGCTGATGTCGACGTAGCCCCATCCGACGTCATCCTCACACAAAGACGAAACCACCCCCCCTCGAAACCTCCTCCGAGCTTTGATGGGGAGGGTGAGGATTGTGTGAACGCAGAGTGAAGAAGAAGAAGAAGAGTGAGAAGTTAGTGCTCACGAGGAATACGCTTTTCCTTCGCTGGAATCGAAGAAGGATCTCTCATTCTTCTCTCAATTTATTTAAAAGCAAACAAAAAAAAAGTATAACTGGAGTTGATTTTGGGTCGTGTGTTCAAGTACGCGAGTTCACATTAAGCAGAATTCTTATCACAGTATACTGACCATACACGTGTCCTAATATGGTTTATAAAGAGTGAGATTGTCTATGGTGTACATAGTAAACTGTGTGGTTGGGTGTAGAGGATAAAGCGCCTAGTCGTGTGTGTATAGTCCAAGTAGACAAAGTTCATGTTTTCATTATCTCTTTTTTTTCTCTAATCAAGTTTTCTCTGTGTAATGACTAGTGACCAAAATAATACAGAGAAGAAGAGGAGAACACAAAGTGGGACTCGTTTTTTTTGTGTGGGTCCCTTGCTTATGTGACCCAACAACACACCATCTGTTTGGTTTTTTTCTTTTCTTAATATGCAGATTAGTGAAATAATGTTTTTGAACAGCAACAAGTTTTGAACCAAAAAAACATTAACAATCTATCTAAGCCGTGATTTAACATAATACTGTATATATTCAAATCCATTTTTTCCATATTTCTGGCCAGTGGCATGGACATCTCACTTTCAAAATAAAGAATCGATCACTTTTCTCTGCACTAGTTTGTATTACAAATGATACCAACAAAAATAAAGAATATAGCTTTAGTATCTAGTTTACTTACAAACTGAAGTAGCAGTTTTCTAAATTTCAATTAATTGCTGGGTCCTTCATTTTTTTATTTATATCATTTATAATCATTATTGGCTAGTTCACTGAACGTAATAACAAAAAGGGTTTGACGGATTTGTCCCACAGCAAGACCCTAGCATGAATGATTATGATATATATTTTTTTTGTTTATCTTCCAACGAACAATTGAGTCCTATATTTTACACGCTTTTGACTAAATTATACTCTATTTTTCTCATAATATATATTAAAGAGTAAGCATCTGTGAGTGAAATTTTACGATATTTACTACTTTTTTTTATTATTGTCGGAATTCTTTCTGCAATGGCAGGAAAAGAGGGAAACATAGTTGTATGACTAAGGTGCTCGTTGGCAAAAAAAGAAGAAGAAAAAAAAAAGACTAATGAAGGTGCAGTTCTGAGACTGAGACAGCATTTACGTGATTTTGTGAATTTTGAAGATGATGAGAACAAGCTTACAATCATATTGAGTGTGGGATGTTTTTTTTATCTTCCTCTTTCTCATTTTTTTTGGTTCAGAAACGGCTAAAGAAAGACAAAACTGCGGGTGAGACGTCTTAATAAAAGTAAAAAGTAAAAACAATTATAAAGTTAACACTTCGAATGGATCAGAGGGTTCTAAGGCGGCGAAAAAAGGTTAACGCCGTTGCCGGGGATCGAACCCGGGTCACCCGCGTGACAGGCGGGAATACTTACCACTATACTACAACGACTTTGTTGCTTAACGACTACAAATATTGATTTTAATATTAAATTAAATAAATCATCACTTACAACATCCTTAACGACAAAAACCAGCCTTCCTTTCTTGCGTTTAGATATAAATTAGGATGAGAGAGGGGTTTTCTTCTTTTGTTTTGCATTAGGAATGTTATGTTTTAAATATGTCAGAAAATTTTAAATCGATGAATCATTGCTTTAATTTTACATCTAACTTAGATAAAAATATGTGAGATGAGAAGTTTAGAATCTAAGTACATTAATAGTTTATGAACGTGTCATTTTTCTTTAAAATCTAGCCCTGTTCGTTTGATCGTATTTAGTGATAAAAAATAGTTATATTTAGTGATAAAAAGTTTTAGATTATTTAACGTATTGTAACACAAATTGGACGATAGTAGTAGTTTGGCTTTTAGGCCAAAATATTGACTTTCTCAAAAATATGTTTTGCTTTTTGATTACGTCCATGTTACCTTGCTAAGTGCTAACCCATTTTTCCCCTAACTTTATAACTGTAAAACTCAAGACAGTTAGACAGATATGTTTACATTTTTACCTATAAACTTACAAAAATGTTAGTACAATGTCTTAAGAATTACTCCATAGACTTTTGGTTCTAGTTAATTGTTCTATATGGACATTATCCGATGCAAGTATTTAATATATACAGTAGGGGTGTGATTCAAATTCAAATTTCATGGAGATGAAAGGATGGATGATAACAAATAAACACCAGGGGTACTAGCGTAATTCCAGGATGCATGGGCCCATTTGGCCTGACTTTTTTTAAAAAAGTATATCAGTCAACCATTCAGATTCACGTCGATCGCGTGTATACATTACACAAAAATTACCAAGTGTGGCCCTCGTTTCCTTCTTCTTGTTTTTTAAACTATTTAAACCTTGTAAAAGCTTAAAGATCGGATTCCAATACAAAATACTACCAAAAATGTTTCTAAGCATTTAACCAAAAGTATAAGTTAACCAAACAAAAGTATTCAATCTACTTTTTTGTTAGATTTTCGGTAAATAAAATCTAACCACTGAATCTATTAATTACTTGGTTTAATGCAACTTAAAAATTCTTTCTAATTATGTTTTTTTAGTAAACACATCAATGGTTTACAAGATGAAAATAAAGTGTTGCTTGGACTAAACAGTAAACACATTAGGTGTAAACATTAAAGACAAAAACCTCTGGGTAAAAAAGAAAAAAAAAACTTTTGATAATCCATCCACCATCCTTGTTAAAAAAAACCGCTCAGTTTCCATTGTGCAAATTGGTTTGCAGTACAAAATCCACGTGGCGATTTATCATTGGTAATACCGATAGGAAGGCGGTCGCTATCGTCCCCCTCCCTTCCCTCCTCTTTCTCTCTCTTACTATACTCTTGCTTTTTTTTTTTTTCCCTCTTTCTCTTACTCCTTAGTCCTTACTCTGTCTTTCTTCCTCAGACACACACATCAAAACCCTAATTTCTCTGCTCGATATCTCTCTTTTTTCCTCCTCTCTCAATCCTCCGGAAATGCACCAACTCACGTTTCGAGGATCGTGAAACTCGAGGTGTTGATTCTAATAGTCGAAGAAAGAAAAGAAGTGAGAAAACAAATGCTGGAAGCTGCAGATAACTCAAACGTCCTCAATGGAGGATTCTCTCAGCTACAGAGTTACTTCGGAGATTGCAATAGCGAGGAGGAATTAACGGTGCTGCCACGTCATACCAAAGTGGTCGTTACCGGGAACAACCGTACCAAATCTGTCCTCGTCGGTCTTCAAGGCGTCGTTAAGAAAGCCGTCGGACTCGGTGGTTGGCATTGGCTGGTAATAAAGATAATCAACCAGCTTCGCTTTCTTTCTCTCTTTTTTATAAAAAAACTGGGTTTTGTCTTTTTCTTTTTTTTTTGCTCGAGAGGAGAATCTGAAAATTATTGAAATAGAAGAGTAGATTTGAGCTTAAATCCAGAATTCAGCTCGAGTTATTTTTTTTTTCTTTTGAATCATTAAGCTCAATAATGCACCGGATCAGTAGTTGTCCGATGTTGCCGAATCAAAATGGATCAACGCAACAAAAAGCAAAAGATTAATTGATTGTCCTTAAAAATAACAACTTTATTCTAAATTGCATCATAACGATCTGCACTTTTTATATTTATTCAACTTTTTTTTACTCATCAAAATTTCTTGTGAATCCTTATCCCTTTTTCATCTTTGTGGGTTCAAGCTGGCTTTTAGATTTGTTTTACTTGTCACTAATTTAATACTATTAATTAGGGTTTTGTTCTTTCTTTTTTTCTTTCAGATTAGTCATTTTCATCCACTACCGAATTTTGCTCCTTTTTGGCTGAGTTACTTTTATAGACGTTTTCAATTTCATTAGGCTGCTTAGTTTTTTTTTAACATTAGAAATTACTTTTTTTGATCATTACTCACTTCACCATTACTATGGCTTTACAATATAAGTAGTATCTTAATACGAATTCTTCAATAACGCGTATACTTTACTAATATCGATACCAAATTCCACCAGTTCTTGTCTCCCTGCATTCCCATTTCTCAAAAAAAGTCTCTAATTTTTTAACTGAATTGCAATTTGTTTAATCTAATCCTCATGCTTTTTAATTTTCAGGTTTTGACAAATGGAATAGAAGTGAAGTTGCAGAGGAATGCGCTTAGTGTCATTGAAGCTCCTACAGGGAACGAAGAAGACGATGATATTGAAGTCGAGCATCCGCAGTGGAATCCCTCAGATATAAGTAAGTTTGGTTCATTGTCAAAACTCTGTAATATCATCGCTAAGTATCAAAACTCCAATGTTCTTTGATTGACTTATGCAGCAATGGAGGACACGTTGCAGCCACATAAGTCGAAGCAAAGAGGACACAGATCAGCGCGGTTATCTCAGAAGACAATGTGTAGGGCCTTATCTTGTGACTCACACTTAAAAAGCTCGAGTTTGGCTCCTCGTAGAAACCTGGTAATGCCTTGGACTTTTAAGAATTTTCATTTCAATTTGTTGTGTTACTGATGAGGAAAACATGGCTTGAACGCAGAAGGTTGATCTTAGCAAACTGGATATGCCTGCATTACTTAGATATCGGCGACATTTTAACCTCGTGAGTGTAAAAAAGAACATTCTATTTCTACTCTCTTAGTTACCGGTAAATTTGGAAAAGAGTTTTTTGTTTTTGCCAACACGTGATTGATCTCTTTTTATGTAAGGTGGATACTCTTCCAAATCCATCAAAGGAGCAGCTACTTGACATTGTTCAGAGACACTTCATGTCTCAGGTAACATTCTTGTTGTTCAATAACACTGAAATCAAAAGGGTCGAAAAGCTACAATATGTTTGTGAATTTTGTCCTCTCTCTCTCTGGTTTACAGGAAATGGATGAGCTTCAGGTTATTGTGGGATTCGTTCAAGCTGCAAAAGGAATGAAGAAAGCTTGCAAGTGGAAATCAAAAGAATCCAGAAACACTGATCTTAACCGCAACAGCTAAATCTCCATTAACAGACTAACAAACTGTCCTCTTTTGAACCTTATGGCATCTGCGCGCGGGTCTCATGTCTTTTAACCATTCCATGGCTTAAAAAGTTGAGTATAGACACTAGTTTAAGCTTTGTCTCTTTTGGGTTAACACTTAACAGTAGATGTTATCATTGCTCTCTTATGTAAGTACATCAAGAACCAATGAACCTTCTAATCTCTAATTAAGCATCCATCTTTACTTATCCAGTATATATCTATTGCAAAGAATCTGACTTTATCTTTCTTGTTCTCTCAAATCAAAGCATCAATGCAAATGAGTTGTAACAACTGAATACTTGGAAAAATCATTAAAAAATGGAAGAAGATACAAAGTCATAATCTTTCCGGTACATAAAATATAAATAAGCAAAAGAAACGTGAGAACAGAAACCCGACCCGAATCTCTAAGACCGGGTGGGGCAGAAAGTGATCAAATAGTTAGATCCGGAACAAGTGAATGTGCTAGTTGCGTCGTCGTAGGCGTAACTGTAAGCACTAGGGCAAGCGTTCTTAAACATCGCCGAGTAATGCGTCGGAGAACAAGTTTGCGGCGTCGCGTGAGCTCCGGTACAGCAAAACTCCGGCGAATTAAACGCCGCGCAAGCGCTCTTACACGCCGCGATGATTCCCGTGTGCGGATCCATGATCCGGAGCTCGCTAGGGCAAACCGTGTTGACGTCGGCGACGCAGCCTGCGTATTTGCAATCGCCGGAACCTCCTTGGGGTTTTATCCCCATCTCGACATTGTAACCGTCGACGAGGCTCACGTCGTAGAAATCCTTGCCGGAATCGCCTGATCCGACGGTGAATTCGGCAAGAGTGGTTGGAGGAACTCCGCCGCCGATGCATTTGAGGACGCCGCCGCAGTCTCCGGTGACGCAGTTACCGTGGCCGGAGGAATCGAAGCTGCAGCCGGTACGAGCCCAGAACCGGCCTGACCATCCCGGAGGAGCGGTGAGCTGTACGGAAGCGCCTGGAGTCAAGGGAAATCCGCCGTCGCCGAGGGTGTTACTGTTGCCGGAGAGAATTCCCGGCCAGACGGTGTAAGGACAACTGTTCTGCAAAGTGAAGACGGTGGCTGAAACAGCAATGCCGCCTGCAATTTCAATACACAAACCATAACAATTAAAAAAATGTTGAGTACGTCAAAACAAAAACAAAGAAATATTTCTAAGAATTATAATGCAATCGACGACGAGGAACAAAAACATTTTCATCAAGAAAGCTACACAAACAGTGTTTGGACTTATGATCCTTTGAAAACATACGAAATGATGTATAGAGAAAAGAGATGAGAGAAAAAACATATGTGAAACAGAGTGTTGTTGATTGTTTACTTGTGATGAAGATGAAGAAGAGCATGAGAATACTGGAGAGTTTCGCCATTTTTTTTTTTATTGATCGGAGGTGTTTGCGTATATGTGATGTGAATGACGAAGATTGTGATGAAGATGATGATGAATGTCAGTTACTCGCACCGATCCTCTATTTATAACTGCTGATTCGATGGTAATGCTATATAATTTGGTGATTAAAAATAAAATAATTTTCTTTTAGCCCATCTTCTTTGGTTCTGTTAATTTTTATTTGCCGCAATGGTTTTTTCTTTCGTTAATTTGACATCAATATTCTAATTTGACGGTTGCGAGAAAACATCGTGGGGTCAAAAATATTATGGATTCTATTAATGTTGACAGGAATGGTGAAAGAGCATGCCCAATTAACTGCATCGTGACATTTAATGTTAATACTAGATTTTAACCCCGTGCGTCCGCACGAGAATGTTTTATTTTTTATTTTTAATATAAGTTGCACTTATTTTTTTGTTTAGATATAATTTATTTTTGTTATTTGTTTTTTAAATTAAAAAATTATTATTATTTTAATTTTAAACAGTAAAATTTGTATATTAGTAGAATAAGAGTATACGTTAATTAAGTATACATTGATCTAATGTTAATTATAAACTTTGTTATTATGTGAATTTAAATTTACACATAAACAATCTATATATCTATGAATTTGCTAATCCATCCGTTTAGTTGTCTTAAATCATTTTTAATATCTTACATGTTTTAACAAACATTATTATCTAAAGTATTTAAGAAATTCTTAAGTATTAAAATTAAGAAATTTTAAATTAAATTTTTCCTGTATTTAAGAAATTCTAAAGTATTAAAATTATTATCTAAATTTTTGTAATAAAATTTAATTATAATTTTTTTTGAAAATTTTGAATTTAAATTAAATTAAATGCAAAATTTTGTAACTAAATTTAATTAAATTTGAAATTTAAATTAAAGATGACCTAGATTTTAGGAAATCTAAAAATATCTAAATTAATAACTAAATTTCGGAAATAAAATATAAAAATAAAATAAAATATTATTAAAAAAACTTTGAGAGTGTTTGGATGCAAGTACTAAATGTGCTTCTGTTTTAATAGAATAGATTAAATTTCTAATAATTTGAAATTTAAATTAAAGATGACCTAGATTTTAGGAAATCTAAAAATATTTAAATTAATAACTAATTTTCGGAAATTAAATATAAAAATAAAATAAAATATTATTAAAAAAACTTTGAGAGTGTTTGGATGCAAGCATTAAATGTGCTTCTGTTTTAATAGAATATATTATTTTTTTTTTTAATCTAAAACCCAAAAAAGAAAATCAAAAGAGACGTGAAGAGATGAGTACCATACGTCTTATTAAACCATTTTCACACGTTCGCATGAAATCCCGTTAAAGAAGAACCCACAATATCCCGCGCAAGTAGAAACATATCTTTCATCATTTTCATAATTCCCTTCCATAATCATTCCCATTTCTTTAAATTTTCCACTTAATTTTATTTATGTTTTTTTAAATTTTTAATTTCTTATTTTTTAAAAATTGGTATTCTACTAGTTTATCCAGAAAAATACCATGAGATTGATCTTTACAACACGAAAATTGATGATATATATGATTGATCATCTGTTCTGGTGAAAAAAAAAAACACATCTGTTTTGGTGCGAAAGAGTAAACAACTAAAAATGTTTAAAATTCGTATATTCATGAATGGCTCAAAAATAGTAAAGTTGGAGAGTTTGAGTTTTAATGGGTTGATGAGAAGACTGAATCAAATTTTGGCCTACCCATTTATTGGAATAGCAATAGCATATGCCTTCCTCTATGTTTTATCTGCAGCTTCTCTTACATCAGGTTGGATTCTAGTCATCGATATGGCTTGCGTTGTTTCTAGCTTTGGTGCAGTCGCTGTTCTGATCTATCACATATTATGTCTTTATTTTACTTTGTAAGCGTTGTAGGGATAGTGATGATTGGAGTATTATTTGGTCTGCACTTTCCCCCTTAAAATCTTATCCCAAACAACATTGGACCTTGAAGATAAAAGAAGAAGTTTGGTAAACATTTGAGGTTCATTTATGCATACCCTTTTTAAGAATGTTTTGTTTGAGCGAACACTTGTTAAACATTTAGAAAATCTAATATGATAAACACTTGAAAGTCCTATAAAAACATATTGATTAGAACTAAGTAAACATCACTCCCATCTAATCAGCATGGTGCATTTATGGTGCATTCACAAGTCGCTGATAATGAAAAACTTTCAGTAGCCACAAATTTAGATAATTCATACACATTACAAAGCTTTAAATTATCAAAAACAAACATAAAACATGTCTGGTTTTGTCAAACACTAAGAGGATGAATAAACAAAGTTGCTTAATCATACAAAAAACCATTTCTCAAACACTGACATTTAATGCTTTATCATCATCATAGACTTATGAGATGTTGTTATAAGCCACAAAAACCATGTGATGAATTCCACCATCATCAAAAGGCAATTAAAAGGCAAGCTCATGTATTCTTTTACAATAATTCTATGATATTTTTCAAACAAGGCAATGTGAACAATTTAATATATCATATGGTTGCTGCAAGTGTATACAACGTTAAAAACGTTAGAAATGCAGATGTGATCACATTTATAGCATGAAGAAAACATTTTTTATAATATTTCAGTTGCACTATTTTTACAGTGGTCATCGAAATAGATGGAAGAACAAAAGAAAATTAAGAAAATAGTAATTTTAAGTGTGGATTGATTGATGAACTCATTAGCCAATTACATATGCAAGAATACAAACAACTTTGAAAATATATTTAATACTATTAACTGTAGAAAATATTAAAATACTATTTTTAATGTTTTGGTGCCACCATTGTGCAACGAGACAATGATTAATGTTTCATAGTATCGGTATATATTCAAATCCAATATGTTAGACTAGACTATACTATGAATATAATCTATAGAAAAGATACTAAAGATTTAAATTCTAATATAATAGGAGTCACAAATATTAGTATATCTTGGACATGTTATTTTTTGAGTGTGATTACTCTTTCGACTTATGGTAAAGATTTTTCCTCATCCGATCTCACTTCATCTAAGCTTTATTCACTTGAAAATAGTTTCACTGCTTACCAAAGTGGTCAAAGATTCTATTCATCATAATAATCGTTATGCCTTCATAGAATACAATCCTCATTACAAGGTGCAATGACCTTTTTTTCCTTTGTATCTCATTTAATATAAACGATTCTCATTCTTATTTAGGAAACCAGATCCGCTTGTGTATCAATATACAGTTCTTTGTATAAATTTTTTGATCAAGATACAGAAAGCCCTTAAACTTTCTTCATTGCCTCGGTTACTTGTATCACTTTGGAAAGAATAATTGTTGTTCTATAATTTCATAAACACCAAAGGTCAAAATGAATTTAGAACCACTGGAAGTAAATACTTAATCAGGTGGGGAGAGATAATCACTTAGTCGATCTTAGAGATGCTGAGCCCCTAAACGGCTGTATTGAAAAGGCCCCAGTTAACCATCATTGTTACAAATTCATAAAAATTAATTCAATTAATATAAAACTACAAAATAAATAAATAAAAATCAGAGCAATAAACAACAATTTAAATCATGATTTCTTTTCCTTTCCTTTTAAAGGAATTATTAACCAACCTCTAAAAAAATCAACACTTTCAACCTGGTCTCTTTTGATAGATAAGATAGCCAAATCTAATATTTTAACCAGCACTTTTTGATACATAATATAGCTAAATCTAAATTTAATTAATTGTCTTCAAATTCAGAAAACTACAATATATTTTAATGGTATTTTAATCTAAAATTATAAATCATACTTCTTTAATGTTGATAAATCATCATAAATCAAACTACATATAATATTAGATGAAATAAAATTATAATAAAAAAAATATTTAATAATTAGCGAATAGTTTTTGATTATGTGGTTGTGAAAAAAAGGAGTGATTTGAAAAAGTTTTCATCGAATAAGATTGCCGACAAATAAATGGGATATAACCCAATTAGCTAAAAAACCACAAATAGTGGACTATAGCCCAATTTGCGAAGAAGTCACCACATTGGATTAGACAAGAATGATGAACAACAAATAAAAAGCAAACCAAATACCATATATTAAAAATGCCAACATATTAAAAATTACAAAAATCTTGGAAAAGTCCGCTCCGTATCTGCTATCTAGAGTCCTCGGAAAATTTTATAGGTTTATTTATTTTTCTTTAATGTTTTTGAATTTTTTCTTACGAAGATATTACGTTACTAATGGATTCAAATCCAAATTTAATTGTTTTACGGATCCAATAAATCTGGATATTTTGAAAATTTCGAAAAGTTTTTCGGTCCGTACTTACTCCTAACAAACATTACACACATTCTAATTAATCTACAATGGTCAATGTGCTCATGGCTGTAGCTTTTTTTTTTTTTTTTTTGACAACGGCTGTAGCTTTATCAGACATTAATAGCTGTAGGGGTTATGAAGTATACAAGAACTGATTATAAGTTTCTTTAAATGGGTTGATGAATTATCACAGTTATAATGTATCTATAAACATTGTTTTGTTGTTGGGTTTTCTCAAGTCTTACCCAACCAAAAAGGTAAAGAAAGTTCAAAGTTGGTTCTATCGAAACTAACCTGATCTCACTTGCACCTACTCAGCTAAGGAGATAAGATGACACATGAACAAGCAAAGTCATGAAAAGAAACAGGAGATGGTTTGCTCTACCTGAAAAGATGTTGATCCAATGTAGCAGTTGAAGAAATGATGAATCTATGCTTTTTTCTCTTTCTCTCTCCTCCTTTCATCACCTGAAATAAAAAAAAACAGGTAACATCCTTTTGGGACAAAGTGGATTCTATGCTTCTTCCATCACCGACATAGTTTTGTTCAGATGGAAACTTCCTTTACCGACTGAATCATAAGTTAAGAACACCTTTTGACAACAATAATGGTTGACCTCCTATGTTTGTTTCTAACTCAATGAACACAACTTTTAGTTTCACAATCACAAAACTATGTTGCTCAATTGATGATAGTTTGGAACGCGAGATGTTAACATAACCATAATGCAATGAAGGTACAAGTTAAAATGTGAGTTTCAAGAAAACAACACATGGAATACAATATTGATAAGTAATTATTTGGTTCAAGGAGCTAACAATAATGAAAAGGCTAGCAAAGAAATCTTTATGTCTATATATATATATATATTGTTGATATAATTCTTTGTATGCAACATTGCAAATAAGATGAGTGCAACAAATGAAAACTGGAAAAGATCATTAAAAGAAATGGAAGAAGATATTCATCTTTCCGTAGGTAACAAGCAAAAGAAACGTGAGAGAGTAACCCGACCCAAATCTAAACCGGAGCTCCTCCGGTTAAATTAAGAAGTGGTGGGGCAGAAAGTGATCAAGTAGCTAGCTCCAGAACAAGTGAAGGTGCTTGTTGCGTCGTCGTAAGCGTAGCTGTAAGCGCTAGGGCAAGCGTTCTTGAACATCGCCGAGTATTGCGTCGGAGAACAAGTCATCGGCGTCGAGTGAGCTCCCGTACAGCAGAATTCCGGCGAATTAAACGCCGCGCAGGCGCTCTTGCACGCGGCCACGCTTCCATTGTTGTTCGGATCCATGATCCGAAGCTCGCTAGGGCAAATCTCGTTGATGTCGGAGACGCAGCCTGCGTATTTGCAGTCTCCGGAACCTCCTTGAGGTTTTATCCCCATCTGGACATTGTAACCGTCGACGAGGCTCACGTCGTAGAAATCCATGCCGGATTCGCCTGATCCGACGGTGAATTCGGCCAGAGTGGCTGGAGGAACTCCGCCGCCGATACATTTTAAAACTCCGCCGCAATCTCCGGTGACGCAGTTACCGCGGCCGGAGGAGTCGAAGTTGCAGCCGGTACGAGCCCAGAACCGGCCTGACCATCTCGGAGGAGACGTGAGCTGTACGGAAGCGCCAGGCGTCAAGGGAAATCCGCCGTCGCCGAGGGTGTTGCTGTTGCCGGAGAGGATTCCGGGCCAGACGGTGTAAGGGCAAAGGTTCTCCAAAGTGAAGACGGTGGCTGAAACAGCAATGCCGCCTGCAATTTCAATTCACAAAACCGAAAGGAATAAAAAGGCGAAACAAAACAGAGGAGAAACAGAGGAGGTGATGTAAAAAAATGTGATAGCGAAGCGAAAAAGATGAGACATAAGTGAAACAGAGAAGAAATTAAAACAGAGTGTGTCTGTTGTTACTTGTGATAAACACGAAGAAGAGAATATGAATACTGGAGAAATTCGTCATTTTTTACTGGATCGGAGACCTAGAACGTAAAAAGGTTTCTTTTTTATCGATCTCAATGACTTTAAAGATACACCTTTTATAATAACCTAATTGCCTAATCTCTCATATATACGATATACGGTATCTTAGCATATCGTAACAGTTTAGTGTTGCCGATCCTCTATTTGCAAGTCCTGGTCCGAGGTAGCGTTATCATTCTTAATCAATCATAATTTTTTTCTCAGTTAATTTGTAGTTTACAACGAAAAATATAATGTTCAATGGGAATAAAATCTTTGTTAGTCCATCTTCTTTCGCTCTGTGAATTTACTATAAGTGGTTTTTCAAAAATTGCTATAAATTTGAGGAAAACCTAAGGCTCATAGCTGTGAACAAGCAAAAGGCATGAGAAGAAAACAGAGATGCTAAGCTTTTGCTGAAAATATGATCTAACGGAGCAGCTGAATAGCCCAAGTTAAAGAGTCTTCTTAAAAAAACAGAAAAACAAAACATTTCTGAGATTTTGAGCTAAGGGAGCTAAGGAAACAGTATTGGAATTATTATCCCTTAAAATTAGAAGACACAGAGGAGATAATGTAAAATAAGATAGCGGAACGAGAAAGATGAGACATAAGTGAAAAAAAAAAAAACAAAAAAACAAAAAAACAAAAACAGAGTGTGGTTGTTGTTACTTGTGATGAACACGAAGAAGAGAATCTGAACACTGGAGAAATTCGCCATTTTTTGGATTGGGTTTTTGTGGTTGTGTGATGTGAATGATAATGTTTGTGAATTTGTGATGATGAATGTTAGTGTTATCGATCCTCTATTTATAAGTGCTGCTTCACTGGTCAGAGGTAGTGTTATCAATTTAATAAGTCATAATTTTTCTGTTTTCTTGATAAATATTTGTAGTTTACGAAAAAAGAAAAATGTTAAATGGGATTGAAACCTTTGTGCGGACAGTTAGCCCAGCTTCTTTAGCTCTGGAATTTTCTTGTGGTTTTTAAAAAAAGTTTACTAGTAAATTAATTTGAGGAAACCGTGAGAGATGAAGACATCGAACCGGATCAAGGACAAGGTGATTTACCGGATATAAAAGAGACTTGGATGACCTGTTCAAAGACCATTGACATAGGTGAGGAGTTTAACCTAGCAGTGAAAATTAACTCGACAGAGCCAAAAAAGAAACCAATCAAGCTGAGTAGCTGAGACCAACTTGAGGTCTGGAAGAAAATTTACGCGGACCCGGAAAGCACTAAATGGAGGACACTACGTACCAATTCAAGCTTCAAACGTTGAAGAACGTTTTAGTAAAGGCCAAAGAAATCCAGAATACTTTGACTGTCAAAATTAGACCACACCAGACCATTAGGATACCGCCTTATCAATCCATATCTAGCCGATACCTTCTGATAGCCTAAACTATATTCTGAACTAATTGGGAAGGCATCACAATGAAAAGATCACCAAGATTGCATGAAGACCAGACTAGTTTACGTGAACACCAAGCCAATGCTTATTTGGCCAAGATTAGTTCATGAGATCTGATATGACATGTGATCCTAGAGTCGACCCGGATAGATATGTAATAGATGTGTGTATTATTGTGATTTTTGCCACAAACAGCTTGACACAACCTAAATGCGATTAAGACACAAGTCAAATGAATATGTGAGTTTATAAGAGAACATCAGCAATTAACAGTGAAAACGGCAGCTCACACATGTAATATATTCTTGATATTAATTATTTTATTCAAATCATCAGCTGAGTTGTAACAACAACTGAATACTTGAGGAAAATCATAAAAGTGGAAGAAGATATTCATCTTTCCGTACATAGCAAGCAAACAAAACGCGGAGATAGAAACCCGGCCCGAATCTTAAACCGGAGATCGGATCTCCGGTTATAATTAAGAAGTGGTGGGGCAGAAAGTGATCAAGTAGCTAGCACCAGAACAAGTGAAGGTGCTTGTTGCGTCGTCATAAGCGTAGCTATATGCGCTAGGGCAAGCTTTCTTGAACGTCATCGAGTAATTCGTCGGAGCACAAGTCTCCGGCGTCGAATGAGCTCCGCTGCAGCAATACTCCTCCTTGTTAAACGCCGCGCATGCGCTCTTGCACGCCGCCACATTGTTCTGCTGATCCTTGACACGAAGCTCTTCAGGGCAAATCGCGTTTAGGTCGGCGACGCAGCCTGCGTATCTGCAATCTCCGGATCCTCCCTGAGGTTTTATCCCCATCTTCACGTTGTAACCGTCGACGAGGCTCACGTCGTAGAAATCTTTGCCTCCAACGGTGAATTCAGCCAGAGTGACCGGTGGAACTCCACCGGCGCCGGCACATTTTAGGACGCCGCCGCAGTCTCCGGTGACGCATATACCGTGTCCGGTTGAGTCGAACTTGCAGCCGGTACGAGCCCAGAACCGGCCTGTCCATCCCGGAGGTGCCGTGAGCTGTACGGAAGCGTCTGTAGCTAATTCCAATCCGCCGTCGCCGAGGGCTTTTCCTCCGTTTCCGGTGAGAATTCCGGGCCAGACGGTGTAAGGGCAAAGATTCTCCAAAGTGAAGACGGTGGCGGAAACAGCAACGCCGCCTGCCATTTCAAAACACAGACCAGATTCATCAGAAAAAAACAAAGAAACAAGAAAACAATTTTGAAAATTGTTGTGCAATATGTTGTGAAAAAAAAACTAACGAAATCATCAATCAGGAAGATCAAGAAACAGTATCTGAATTATCATATTTTCTAAATAGAGGAGAAAATGTAGAATCTAATAGCGAAAGGAGAAAGATCAAAGAGAGTAGTATGTTTGTAGTTACTTGTGATGAACACGAATAAGAGAACGTGAAAACTGGAGAAATTAGCCATTTTTTGGATTTTGAGTTTTGTGGTTGTTTTGTGTTTGTGATGTGGATGATGAATATCAGAGGCACACCGATCCCTATTTATAAGTGCAGGTTCGAATAGAGGTAGTGACGTTGTTTATGTTTTCGTCATCTCTAGACTCTAGTGACGTACGACGTAGTGTCAAAATTTTCTATGTTTTTTGGTTTTCTTTGTTAATATTTGTAGATGAAAGAAAGGGGGAACAAAAAAGTTAAAAAAGTAAATACAAATATAAAATATTCCTGATGACTCTTAGCTCATTTTTTTTTGGGGTTTTTGCTAAAAATATTTTAAACACAAAAGTAGATCCCTGAAAAAACATTTGGTAGATATAACCTACAGAGGTAGTGAAAAGACCATTTAATCCTGTATGAGTAAACAAAAAACGAATGTCCTAATTACCGTTTTCTCCCTGACGAAGTCTACTAAAAAGAGAAAGAAGTCTAATAGTAGACTTCGTTTATCAAAATGAAGTCTACTAAGTAATTAAATCAGAAAATTTAATTTAAAAATTTTTAAAAAATTATTTTGGTATCAAAATTATATTCATAAATTCCGTAATTGTAACCCAAATGTACATAAATTATTTTTTCATATTGATAAATGAAAATTTTTGTTTTTAAATTAAGAAGAAGAAAATATATTATTTATGTTTTAAAATTTGTAGACTTCTATATTGAAGTCTACTAAACCGAATAAATAAACCTAACCGAAATTAAACCAAAATTAAACAAAAAAATAGTTATTTTAACCAAAATTTTTATCTTACTATATAAATCAGCGAATTCTGATAAAAATGTTTTATCCAAAAAAAACTATACGACGCTTTCCTCTAGCCTACATCCCCTCTCTCACCATTGTTTTTGAAGTTCAGAGATCTGGTGTCCTTCTTCTCTCTCTTTCTCTCTCTTTGATAAGCATCTTCTTCCCAGTAATGAAGACGTCCTCGGCGATCTGGAAATTTCTCTACTTTCTTAACCCTGCTCATAAAGTTGCTATCTTTCGGGAAATCTGAGGTATCCCCTTTCTTTCAGTCTCCCTCTCTCTTTCTTTCTTTCTTTCTTCTCTCTACAGATCCCTAAAGCCATCTAAAGATTCGAATAGTCCTTACTTACATTCAATACATATATTTCACTTTGAGAGAAGAATCGCAGATTCAGGGCTCCAGATTCAGAGAGATCTGAAGAGTCACATCCCGACTCCATCTATAGATCTCATGGTAGCTTTTAACTCATCAGCTCGTTCTCCATTTCCTCTTCTTCTCAGATTTGACTTCTCTTACTTTGATTTCGTCAGATCTAATCGCATTTCTCTTGTTTTCAATTATTCCGAGCAGTTTTGAAGTATCCCGACGTTTCGGTGTTGGAAGAAAGTAAGTGATGGAATCCGAAGGAGAAACCGCGGTATGTTTTGATTCTGCTTAATCATCCTTAGTTCCGTTTTTTTTTTCTCCTTATAATCTGCATGATCCTCTAGAATTCTATTGAAATCGACGGATTGGAGTGGACAAAGTGGTGTTTACTTGTGTATTATAGAGATCTGATTTGGGCGCGTTTTTCCCAATTTTTGTGGTTTGTACCCTTTCATACTATTTTCTTAATTCCAGCAATTGATAATGATTACATTTCAAGATATCTAATTTCATTTGATTAATTTTGTTTTGATCTTTTGTGTTGATGAGTGATTGAGCAGCGGGATTCGATTTTGGGAAGAGGTTGATGAGGGATTTCAAGAGGAATTAGCAGCGTATGTGAAGCTGCTCGCTGATGATCCCGTGGCTTACTCCGAGTACCACGCGTGGAGGCGGTGTGGACTAATGGGGATCTATGGGAAAATATGTAGTAGATTTTAAAAAAGTTTTATTGTCTACTGGTGTAAGAAATTATATCTCATTGGTTGACTAAACTCTGTTCCATCAGATCTTGTAATAAAAAAAACTACTTTGTATAGTTAATTTGTGATCTATGGTAAAATGTTGTTAACACTCTTTTAAAATTCTGATGTAAACAACAAAAAATAAAGATTTTACAGAATTCTGTTTTAACAAAAAAAAATTCATCAAAAGAGTTCTATTGCTTCTTCTAAGTTAACACCACCAACTCAGACTTTTTATCCACCATTTCAATAAATTTTCTAAAGATACAATGTGTAATGGTATCTATTGGTCATCATTTGTAATGAGCATAAGTGTATTGGTCATGTTATGTATTTTTATCACCTAAGACAACACTTATATCTAAAGCCACATAAAAGAACATTAGTAGACTACACGACGAAGTCTACTTTGATAAACTAAGTACCTAAAAAATCGAAACTTCTGATTCAACAATAAATATCCAATGAAATGAAATAAAATTCACTGGGTAGTTCAATCACTTACTAAGAAGCAATTCTAAACAAAAAAAATTTGAAAAATAGTTTATAAATTTTCTTAAAACGCGTTTTAAAAAAAAACGTCAAAAGTAGACTTCTAAAGCAGACTTCGCATGTAGACTGGAGGAGAAGTCTACTTTGATAAGCTAAGTACCTAAAAAATCGAAACTATTCAACAATAAATATCCAATGAAATGAAATAAAATTCAATGGGTAGTTCAATCACTTACTAAGAAGCAGTTCTGAACCAAAAAATTTGAAAAATAGTTTATACATTTGCTTAAAACGCGTTTTAAAAAAAACATAGGAAAGTAGACTTCTATAGTAGACTTCAATTGTAGACTGGAGGAGAAGTCTACTTTTTCATCGAGAAGTCTACTAATGAAGTCTACTTTAAAAAATGTCATTTTTGCAATTGACCAATCTGTTGACTTTTCCTTCAGTAGACTTCAAGAGTAGACTTTAGGCAAAAAAGGTTACTTTAGCAATTGACCAATGCGTTGACTAACATAGTAGACTTCTATTGTAGACTTCATGTAAGAGTAGACTTCTCTGGCAGTCTACTTTTGAAGTCTACTTTTTAAATAGAAGTCTACGGAACAAAATAGGTTATTTTTGCAATTGAATTTTTTTAGTAGACTTCACGATGAAGTCTACTCAAAAAAAGATTCCTTCCAAGTTTGACCGAACACAAAAAGTAGACTTCATAAAGAAGTCTACTGAAGTGTAGACTTCTTCGGGAAGTCTACTGAAGTTTTTTGGGATTTTTTAAATTTTTTGATTTTTGAAAAACAGAAGTCAAACACTAAAATGATCTATACATTTTTGGTCAAACTACAAAAGTAACTTTAAAGTAGACTTCGTATGCAGTCGTAAGCAGTAGACTTCATACGGAAGTCTAAATCAAAAAGTCAAAATACGGTCAACTACAAAAATAACCTCTTTTCTTTAGTAGACTTCTTGAACCTTCAAATGAAGTCTACTAAGTTTTTTTTTGTTTTCAAAGGATGTCGAGTAGACTTCTCGTGAAGTTTAACGAAGTCTACTTTTAAAAAGTCAATTGCAAAAATAACCTTATGTTGACTAGTAGACTTCACAATACTTCACGAGAAGTCTACTTTCGCGATATGAAAACTGAAATATGGAGAAACTGAAGTGCGACGATTACCTTTTACAAAATTGAGCTCGGCTACAGTTCTTTTAAGCACCCAGAACTCAGAATATCACCAAAAATAAGCAAAGTAACCAGAAATCACCGAAAATGCATGACTTTTGGCATTGTAACTTAGCCCAGATGTTTTGGAGAAGAAATTATGAAAGAATGAGGAAGGTTATGAGTGAATGAGCTTAAATATTTATTTATTACAGCTTTAAAATTGGTTGATAAGCATTTATTCCATTTTCATGGTTGTTCATGGTGGTTGAAGGTATTGAAGACGATGGCATTCTCGTAATTAAAAAGTCTTTAGAAGGTCCAAGAAGACTTTAGCCAATTAAAGAAAAATCGAATTATTAGATGTATAATGGTATTTTCGTTAATAGTATAAGTGGGAAGGATAAAATTGTGAGAAAATGGCAAAAGTTGGAGAAAGAAAAAAAAGAAATTAGTTTTGTGTTTGACTTTGAAATATGGGTTAAATCTGAAACTCTCTCTTTTCTTTAAGCGAAGTGAATTTTATTTGTCTTGGTTTTTCTCTTCCGTAAACCGTAATTTACTTGCTATCTAAAAAAATATAGAAAAACAATTGCTATAAACTCAAGGGGTCCTAACCTTAAGACTCGGTTTTGATATAGCATGGCTGATGCACACTGAAATATTAGGGCTCATGAAATGTTATTTGATGTGATCCTGGCGTATGATTCGGATAACAAATATATGTGTTTTTACTGTGATATGAGAGTATGGGATCGGTATAGTGTATTTAATTGTGATCAGCGAGTAAGGGTTCCGGATAAATGAGTTTAATTGTGATCCTTGAATATAAGATCCAAATAGACATGTTTTGTTGTGATTCGCGATTATGATGATACATTGAATACATAAAATACATAAGAAAATTGATAGTTGAATAGACTTTCTAAAAACATATTATTTACAATACAAAATAAAGTAAAATCTGTGTGACTGCAATTTTTTTCTTTGTAGTCAATAATGATGAAATAGCATCAAACTTCGTCTCCATCCAAAAAAAATCCTAACAAGTGGAGGAGGAAGAAGGGGCACATTCCATCAAAGTAGAACCGAGAAGGCGGGAAGTGGGTCAATAAGTATGACTTAGAAACAAGTTCATATTTTTATTTTTATTTTAATCAACTTGCTTAACTAATAAAATTTGTTTTTATTAGAAATAGTATAAACAATTTGCAGATTTTTTTTTAATCAGACTTACATCATATTATAATGAGGCAACACTGTGCAATTCTTAATTTACCAAATTTTCATTTATGCAATAATAGTTGTGTAATCACTCACCAAGAATCTAATTCTGCTTAGCTTCTTGATTCACACTTCGTAAACGGCTAACCTACTTCTGAGACCACTCTTTCAATATATATTGCCAAACTTTTTTTAAGTTGTCATTTGTCAAGATATGCTTTTCTTTCATCGTATTTTTTTCATATGTTTTTGATAAAGACTTGATATCTCAATGGTCAAGTCTTCGTACTCCATTGATTACGCCATGCTATCCTTGACGGATACAATTCTTCTTGCGTAACAGTTTCCTTGTGTTACACTGAAGCTTCGTGTTAAAATCTTGGAGCTTACAGTTTACAACTTATTTCATGTTCTTCATGTTGTAGGGGCACAAAAAATACAATGTGCTTTGGTTCGAAGGAGAGAATTTGAAACTAGCAAATCTAACAACGGAGAAGAGATGCAAAAACTTGGCAGCGTGCTTTGTGACTTGAGAGTAACCTATAAGGTAAATCTCCCCAAGTGCATCTTTGGGACATCTTAATCGAGGAAGAAACAATGCTGCATAACTGATGTTAATGAAAGCTCATGCTTTTCAATACCGTCGAAATGGCTAATTAACTTTCTTTATCATCCTTGTACAAATTAATAGACTGAGCTTAGATGTTTTAAGAAAAGGAGACATTATTGGTTTGACGGTTAAAATAAAACCATTGTGGGTCATTGTTACGGATTCAATAATGGTGAAATAGCATCAAAGACCCAGAACTAGTGGGAGGGGGGCACATCCCATCAAGGTAGTACAGGGGAATGGGTCGAGAAGACTGACTTAGACTTAGACTCAGAGACAAGTTGATGACTTAAAACCAAGAATCAAGTTGATGACTTAAAATCAACTTTGTGTTTGATAAAAGAGTAATTGGCTTACTAGTAAAACCTGCCGTGACTTAGCAGTCAAGTTCTTTAACTGAACCAACTTTGTGTGGGCGAAAATATTATTTGGCTAAGTAAAACCTGCCGTGACGATGGGTTTCCTTGAACTTATACATCGCTTAGGGCCCTTTCATTAATGGGTCAATGTTACATTAGTCTCCTTAACTCAAGACTTGCATTGCCCTCACGGTTTCAAACATTTTATGCTTCTTCAAGTGGGTTTAATGAACTCTGACAATCAAAATGTATCTATAGACATTGTTTTGTTTTGGGTCTCTAAAGTCTTACCCAACCACAAAGGTAGAGAAAGTTCAAAGTTGGTTCTATCTTACTTTCAACTACTCAGATAAGAAGGCATGTAAAGAAAAGAGGACATGGTATGCTCGATCTGAAAGACTGATCCAATGTAGCAGTTAAAGAAGGTAAGAACATCCTTTTGGGGGACTAAGTGTGTTCTCTGCTTCTTCCATCACCGAGAAAGTTTTTGTTCAGATCGAAACTTCATTTACCGACTAAATCACATGTCATATAGAACAACTTTGCTAATGACATGTTGTTTCTAACTCAATGAACACAAATTTTAGTTTCACAGTTACAAATGTTTTGTTACTCGATGTACAGTTTGAAAAGGCGAAATCTTAACAGTGGAGTTTGCAAGACACAAACAGCTTGACTTAGCCAAAATGCAATTAAGATAAGAGTCAAATGAATTAAAAAAAAGGCAGCCCAATAATCTTTTCTGCCTGTAAATCCTTGATATTATTTCTTTGTACGCAAAAAAAAAAAAAAAATTGTATGTACAACAGAGTTAATGAGTTTTTGCTTCTTTACTAGAATCTCCTCTACAACAGCCAATAGATGGCGAGGGTCGGAACTTGTAATAAGTAGCAAAAGATAAGTATGTGAAACTTAGACCAACATATACTTTGAAACTGCTATGTGTATACAAGGTCAGATAAATGAATAGTGCTGTCAAAGATATTACCACTGAAAAAGTTGCAATGCACTTGAGAATAGAGAGTTCTTCTTCTGGTCTTTGATTTGGGAACTGCCCTTGAGCACTGAAATCGGAGAGCAGTTTGTCCTTCAACTGATATGAATCCATTAACCAAGCTGATGATTCTGCCTCGTTTGCTGGAATCTCATTTAGTGGAACTCGCCGAACGTGGATATGGACTTCTGAAGGATCAGTCCCGAATACATTGTCCATGAAAGATGGGCAGCGAGGCTTATATGCGATGGTCAAATCATATACTGCATTTCAAGAAGATAACGTAAGAACTGAGGAATTTTGGGTTCAATAAATGAAAATGCATATATAGTTCAGGGTAGTTGTGGTCATGAGCTCCCAACATTGGGTCCTTGGACAAATAGAAAATATGCAGGCCATGTGGCGTGAGATACTACTATATAAAAGTGAACATACGTGAACATTTTCATCAGAGTTTCGTAGACCATACCAGCATCCAAAGAGTTATGTAGAGCTTCTAAGCAAACGCCAAAACCCCTTGTTTTTGGTAGAAGTACATTTGATAATGCCGGAAGACCAGCTTCCTTTGCAAACTCTTGGCTTCTCTTGCATTTCTCTTCACTGCATATCAAAATAAGGAACTATGAAAGAAGATAGTTTAAGATTTCACACATTCATGCTTTACTACTTAGCAGGCAATTCCTGAGATGAGGGTGGCTGGTTTATCATATATGCAAGACACATGCTCAATGGTGTTAAATGTCCTAACAAAGTAGAAACTGAAAATTATCTTAAGCAATACAGATTGACTAAGAATTAGCTTATGTATATATATATTTTGAAACTCGTTCATAATGTAGGTTATATGTAAAATCAGACAAGGGAACATATAGTACGTGAAATCGGTTCCCTCTGGGAATAGAGCAAGCCACAAGGGTTCTCGAGGATCCTTAAAAGTTGAAAGCATTTCAAGCATAACAGGTTCGTCCACCTCTCGCTTCCTCTCCACTGGGATAAACTCTAGAATATGAAACCCCCATCCAAAGATAGGTAATCTCATCAAGCTGCTCTTGAGCACGTATTTGATGTAGCCAAGACACCCTTTCCTCAAGGCTATATTCCACAGATACATCCAATCCACTTCAGTCCTGTGATTTGCGATTAGCAAAACACGTTTCTCCACTGGGATGCTGTCTCCAGAGAACACCACGGTTGTCCCGTTAACCGTTTCAAACAGATAAGGCCACAGAGCTAACCAGTGACCAAAGATGAACGATATAACTTTCCTAGATTGGTGCACACTCAGAAGCCGTAGACCAAGAGCAAATACTGGTGCAAAGTAGATGAGGAACATAAAAGCAGTAGACAGGTAAACCAGTAAGATGATGATACCCCTCAGAATCCTAAGCGGAGTCAAAGGGCGGTTCTTTAAGTTATCAGAATTCAGGTCCCCGCAAACTTCCATTCTTTCCAGATAAACCTCAAAGTCAAAGACAAACTGCATCAATGAGATTCAAAAAATGACTCAGTGCCACCTAAAGCTCCTCACTTGCATACAAGAGACTAGAAACTAATGCAAGAGCCTCTATGAATGCAATTTAGTACAGCCACTATGTTAATTCTAAGCCGCTGAGATCCTACAACATCACTTTAAACGATCATATGCAGAGTTTAGACCGAAACAATACATCTAGCAACGACCCAGAAGATATAAAGATCATAATCAAGATATATCAACCCAAAGTTTCTAACTTTATATGTAAAATACAAAAAGAAAAAGAAAATGCAAATCCGAGAATCTCAGGAAGATTAAATACTCTCTTCTAATAATCAATTGTTAATGATGAACAAGAATGGGTTTCTTTTCGACATACTTGGTAGTTTACAAGCGAATTCAATTGACTATATTATCATCAGTATTGGGAAAAACAAACAAGCAGAAATCACGGGAAAAAAATCCCCAAATTGGGAAAGACTTGTGAATACCGCAACTAAAAATCAGATCCCACGTGATGTAAAGATCAGAGACAGGGCTAGAGAAACACTTCTCACGTATCTCGATATAAAGGAAACCCCCCTGAAAAAAAAAAGCAACAAAACAAAATTCTACGGAGAGAGCACGAGGAAGACGACGAAGAAGAAGAAGAATAAAAGAGCGAATAAAGTACCTGGAGAATCTACAAGGAGCAGTTGGTGAGGAGGAAGAGGATAAACGTTATATGGAACAGAGGAATGCGAATCTCAACGTAATGTAAGTTTCTGAGAAGGATCCGTTCCGGGTCGGATCCAAAAGGTGACGGTGAAAGTAATCAGAGACGGTAGGGTGTATCGTACTTCAGCAATCTGATTGGCGGAATATGAAAAAGGTCAAAGCCGCCGCGAAGACAAATCCCTGAAAGCTGACACTTGCGACCCGATAAAATTCTCCTGGCGTTGTTACACTTTGAATGAAACTCAAACGTGAAGCAAACTCTAAAAACCATATTTTTCTCACTTAATATATTAGTTGTACCAAAAAAAGATAAAAGAAAGAATCACACCTTTTTCATAATTTATTTCATTAAGATTATCTTTCTTATAGAACTGGATCTATATTATGTGGATCTAAGATTTTTTTCCTTATAAGTGTATATGGAGATCACATGCTTTTCATTATTTTATGGAGAAAATAAGGCTCGTTTTCATCTAATATCAAAATTAACGGGTTGCTTAGAAATACATGCATTGGCAAACACAACATATAACTTCATGTTTTGACTGAAGAAAAAATCGTGTCTAGTTCTTCTTTTTTTTTTGGGGAAACGATAAGTATTTTTTTATGTGTTCTCTAGTGGTTAATAAAGAATCGTTTCTTTCCTAAATACATTGGACCTCCGACCTCAAGATAGTTTCTTTTTTATTTGTATAATCATTTGAAAAATATTTGATTGCAAGATATCATTGACCAAAAGTAGACTCTATTAAAACTTAAAAGTGATAGTTGACCAAATATGAGGATGTGATTAATCGGTTCACAAGTAATATTCGCCATCCATTCGTCAACATACAGTAATAGGGGTATATTTTCACAAATTATAACATGGTGTTAAATCAGAAATTAGTAGTAAAATCTGAGGATTCACGCACAATTAACCAATTCACGGTACCGGCGGATATTTTCTTCCTTCGTCGCCTCTGCTTCTCTCCTTAAGAATTATCGGGAGAACTTCAGACATGCTCTGCTCCGATCTTCTACCTTGTCCGAAAATCTCTTCTATCATCGATTTTATATGACTTGATTTTCTTGTCTATTCTAAGTAATTCCGTAGGAGCAAGGCCGGTTTCTATGGAGCTTCCCGTTTTCTCCACTCTCCGAGTACCATTGTTCTCTCGTTTAGCTCTCATTCCTGCTTTTGGCATTCCATTTTCTTCCCTTGGAGTTTCCGTTGGTGCTGCGTCTCGATTGAAATGCACCGCTCGAAAGGCGCGTCGGATTTGCGTGATGTGCTTGGTGAGAGATTCGACTCCGATGGAGACGCCGTGCGAGAGAGATGATGGGTCTGAGTTCATTGAGGTCGTTGTTATCGGTAGTCGCAAGGAGTCTATCATAGATTCCTGTTTGGATTCTCCTTTTCCTTCTCTTCCTCTCCGATTTTGGTATATGTTCGATCCCTCTTCGTCTAATGATTCTGTTTCACCTACTGTGCATTTGAAGCTCCCTTTCTGTTTAGGTATCTAAGTGGGAAAAAAGAATCATACTTTGTTTTAGCCTAACATTCCAAATCGAATGGCTTCTCGTTACCAGCTTTCCTAGTACATTTTTTACACTCATAAAGTTTGCAGCTTCGTAATTATGAAGCTTTTATGGCTTCATTGGATGTAGTATATTGTGTATACTCATGAAATTTACCAATTTTAACTGGCAATTCTCCCTTTTTCAGGAGTATTAGCTCTGGAGATTTAGTCTTACAGCAGAGGCTTACTCACGAAGGTCTATACGCTATTTTTATCTTGTAAATCAGAATTTTGAAAAATTTAGCATCTTATAGAAACCAGAGGTTGGGGAGCAAAGTGTTTGAAAATGTTCTTGAGCTTCAAAATTTGACGAGTGCATTTTAGTTGGATAGTTATGTCTGTCTTACCATATTTCGTGCTAGTTTACCATATATTGAGCTAGTTTTCCAAGAAGGAAATACGGGTATGCTATCTTTCTTACCTATTACCTCTATTTTCATATTTACAGATAATGTTTCCAAGACCATGAATCCAATTGAGCTGATACAATCACGTCCAAGGACCTTCATCCTTGTTTGTACTTTTCTTGCCTATCATTGTTTGTGTTCTGTTTTATGCTGCACAAAATATTCTTGCCTTCGCAATTCCATGTGGCCACAATGTATGTACATAGTAATATTACTTGTAGGGCTTTTAGCTTCTTTTTTATATAACTGAACAAGATACTGAGTGTGGAATTGATCATTAACAACCATGCTTCCTAAGATTGCATAGGCTCTTGATGAAATGCTAATAGTTTTCAATTTTTCCTAAAATTTTCTTTTCGTGGAACGGTACTGGTCGTGCATCTGATTCTGCTTAAACTTTTCCCCATACCAGGTGGTTAGTGCTGGATATGGTTCTGACCAGGTTGAAGCTATCAATATTCTTAGTGCAGTAAGATCTAGGGGTAGCTTAGCTGTTGCTGTGCTATTAAAGCCTTTCAGCTTTGAAGGGCGAAGGCGTCTAGAAGAGGTATTTTTGTGTTGCCTCTAAAGATTTCCTTTTTAATTATATACTATCTCATATAACAATTAGAAACAGTCCGTTAATTGAAATCCCTCTCTACAAACAAATCCTACGGCATATACTGTCTCTGGTTGGAGTTTTTTTTCTTTTTTTTTTTTTTCTAATTTCCCAAATTGTGTGCAGGTTAACGAATTAGCTAAGAAACTGCAGCAACACACTAGTTTCTGTATAGGTACTTTTATTAGAAAAGCTACCCTTTGTTCTAGTGGTTTTGCCGGTCATGAACTGACTTCAATTTGGGATTTTTAGATATCGACATAGAGATTTTACTACAGAAGGATTTGGTAACTTTGGACGAGGCGCTGAAAAATGCAAACAATGCTGTTTCGATGGCAATAAATGCAGCCTCTGCTCTGATAAGTGTAAGCATAATTTTTTTTCTCAAAGTATACTCAGAAAGTTGTTGTCAATTTTCATATATGGTTTTATGATATCTAGGGGGTGCATGGAAACTTTATCGACGTGATGCATAAAGATCTTATAGAACTCGAAGGTTCAGAAGTTACAACGGTAAGTTGCTTTTCAATTTTTGTTTTGGGATTTCATTTTTCTTTAGGGTATAGTCACCCAGCTTCTTTTAATAACGTCGTACATTCAAGCCCTCAATGCAGGAAATTATTTACCAATTATGAATTAAAGTGTCTTTTTTTTTTTCCAATTTAACATTACAGTGGTTCAACCATCTCATAGAATCCTTCAATTCTCTTATATCCAGATACTAGAAAGCTACAAAGAGGCAAAGGTTGGTTTTGGAGTTGGTGACAACCTTAAGACTTCTATTTTACGAGCTATATACGACTGCCCTTTCTTTCGCCCTGGTAAAAAGGTACTTTAAATCTCTTATAGCGCATTTATGTAGAATATTTATCCGTACTACTTAAGTTCTTGCTTTCCAATTCCAGAAAAGATGAAGAAGATTAGTCTGACAGTAATGTGAATACAATACTGTTAACACATGGGTTTTTTTATAATTGATGAAATATGTTTAAACATAGTGCCCTATAAACAAACCGTTTACACAGATGTCATCACTCTCCAGAAAGAGCAAGGATTTCGAAAGTTTTGATTGTGTGTATTAGGTTTTCCGGAAGGAGCAAGTCTTTTTATGTAACCCTTTCCAATATGCAGGATCTAAACGCTATTATATGCATTGTGGCTACTTCGGTAGCTCTTCAGAAGAAGGATGTGAAAACAATTCTCCGTACTTTTCGCCAGACAATGGAGTACACTGGAGATATCATAATATCTGTTGTTCATGAACCTGATCTGGAGCCTAAAGTCCTCGTCACAACTTTTTTTATTCTAAGGTGGGATATTTATTTATTTTTTTTCAAAAAGATGGGGTATTTATGTTTAGAGAGCGTCCGCTCACGGTTTCAAGCTCATGCATATTGTTCCATATCTAGCTGAAACTCAACAGAGAAAAGTATATGGTTTCAGCATTAATGTTTGATTAAATCGATGATGGTTTTGGCCACTTAGACTTTATTTTTACTATCAAGCATTAATGCAAGTCTCATATGTCATCGCAGTTGTTCAGAAGAGGAAACTTCCAGCAAAGGCAACATTTTTTCTGGTCTTTTTCCTTTTGTTTTGAATATCTTCAAGAGATATCGTTCACAGCTCCAAAACGAAACAAATAGTGGACTTGGAGATGCGCCAGTTGCAGTGGAAGATTCAGCAGACACTACTTATGTAAAAAGTCCCAGTCAGAGCGTTGAAGGATTTGAAAGTGACAATGAAGACATCTTGGGAGTTTCGGAGAATGGTGATGATGAATACCCAGTAAAAGAGGGGGGACCATCCAGAAACAGTCGTCTGGATCTTGGAGATGAAAATTTAGAAGGTACAAAATTTGAAGACAACTTTTCTTTTTTTGTTATGTAGTATTGGTCGAGTTGCTTCATTACTTGTGCGTAAACTATTCTAAAAGTGAATGCAAAACCATCTTTTGTAGATTACGGTGCTATCCAGAGGGAGCCAATTGCTAACTGGAGTGTGGATCCAGGATATCAGATTGAACAAAAATGGCCAGCTGATTCTGGAGACACCACAGTGCTTAGTCTGGGTATTGTCAACCTTCCTGTTGGTGTGAGGCCTTCAAAGAATCTGAACAGTAGTCTCAGTGTCGCCAGTCAACTCTCCAGGAAGGTGGATTCCAGAGATGATTCATTTTTCAACCCTAGTAGCTCGACAAAAGACTCTATTGATGCTGCATCGACCTTGCTATCAGAGAAGTATGCTGATTTTACAAAGCAAAGAAATCTATCTGCTCGAGCAGCGTCTATGCTGGTAAGTAGCAATGGCAGTCTATGAGGTTCAGATATAAAATCATTTCTCTACTTACTAGTGGAACGAGTTTTTTTCCATCTTAATTCTTTCTTCACTTAGGAAGCTGAAAGAGATTCATCAAAAAAATGGAGTCCGATTCTAGAGATGCAGTACAGAGGAGGACTGTTCAAGGGAAGATGCCAAGGAGGCCTTCCCGAAGGAAAGGTAATCCCCGCCCTGTTGGCTCTGATTCATCTATGGATCCTTATATCATGTTTGATCCTAAAGGTAATGGCTGAATTTTCCCAGCAGGGTCGTTTGGTACTAGGAGATGGAAGCATATATGATGGAATGTGGCACAACGGTAAAAGATCTGGTCTTGGAACATTCTACTTCAAGAATGGAGACGTGTTCCAAGGTACATGGAGAGAAGATTTGATTCACGGAAAGGTAAAAAGACTTTGTTTTCGAAAATGGATTAGCTTATTGAGCACTTGCACAATCTGCTTAGTTTCACCAAGTCCCTAAAGACTTGTTCAAGCTAGTGAACCCTGTAAAATTCCTACTTCCCCAATGTATCATATAGGTTTGAGAAAGGACTGTAGACATAAAGATCTCTTATCAGACAGAGAAAACTTGTTCATTCTTCTCGCAGGGCTGGTTTTATTTCCATAAAGGTGATCGATGGTTTGCAAATTTCTGGAAGGGAAAAGCCAGCGGCGAAGGAAGGTTCTATTCAAAGTCCGGTGAGATATTCTTTGGGCATTTCAAAGATGGATGGCGACAAGGCCAGTTCCTCTGTATAGATGTGGATGGAACAAGGTCGATGACCCTTTAAAACTCTTCTTCTCTGCATCTGAATTAGAACAAAAGCAATCCCAAGTTTCTTAGCATCTTTACTCATAATTTTAGATGGCTTATATTTATTTTACAGATACTCTGAAACTTGGGACGACGGTGTTCTTATTGACCGGAAACAAGTGGACGCCGGAGATTGATAACGTCCGGCACCTTGAAATATGTTGTTATTTGTATAGTGCAGATCGACTTTTTGTCTTTTCTCAGGTTATTATAACGAAACTAAGTTGATAAAAGCATTTCTTTGACTTAACTTTATCTGTTCTTTTGTTGATTAGATGTTAAAAAGAAACGAATCCAATTCCAAAGCGACTTTTGTTTCCTTGCAACCTGAGAAAAGTGACGAATCTTGAAAAAATGAAAGAAATACAAACAAAAATATTTTATTATATGTTCATTTCATTAATATATCTGGTCGGAGCAACTACAACTAATCCTAATCCCAAGTTCTTGAATCTTTACCAGATTCCGATTACGGAATTACATTCATACTATACATTCCCGTAATCATCATAAAACAACAGAAAAAATGAATCTTTCTCCAGTTTTTATTTTTTTCCCCTGAAGTAGATTCTTCTCCGGATGATAATATATTTTATCATTTCAAATAATACAAAAAATATATATGCACATAAACGATAGTTTACGTGGGCTTAGCTGTTGTCAATGAACGCGTCTTGACATAAAACTTCAAGTAGAGCAATGAGATAACGGCGTTTAGAACGGAGTTAAACAGCCAAGCTCCGATACCGTTACAACCGCCACGTTTGACCAGGTGGATGTAGAGAACGCCTACGTGGCACACCGTTAAACACCCCAACAAAACGGCTTGACAGTTAACGACGAACGGAAAACACGCGCCACGTAACCCAATCGCCGTCCAAAATCTGTAACCGTACACGACGGCGTATGAAACGGTCGTCAACAGTATCGCCACAACCTGCAGAACCAACCAAAAAAAAACACGGACGGTCTAATTTAGAAATTTCGGTAACTGATTCCGGTTTAATGCGTGTTAAACCGTCGAACCGGTTAATTACCTGGAAGGATTGGGAAAACTCGAGCCAGAGGAAGGAGATACAGAGGAGAGAAGACTGGTTGATGAGCTGGAAGAAGCTGAGCTTACGACGACGTATCACGGAGAAGAAGGTACGGAACAAGTGAAGGAATCGGGAGAGGTAAAACGCGTAAGACCAGAAGAACACGCGCCCAGAAGCGCGTGTGCCGACGGGAAAACAGAGGAACCACTGGAGAGCCGTCGTGCGCGTGCGTCGCCATAGCCAGCGCGTGTCGCGGATCTCAGCGGCGGCGGAGAAGAGGATACCGACGAAGATGACGGCGGAGATGAAAGCCATGGTTAAGCTGTGTAGGGCCGGGATTGGGCCGAGGGAGAGGCCGCGACGGGATCGGATTGGGAGGATTGCGAGAAGGAGGTGGAGAGTGACGGCGGCGATGACGTAGGATGAGACGGCGGTGAAGAGGAAAGACCATGTGGAGGCGTATGATTGGGTTGGGCTCCAACGGAAGTTAACGATCGTTGGATGCTCCGTTAGCCAGTAATTCACGGCCTGAGCAACCATTGATATACCAATTTACCAAAATACAAATGAAAAATCACACTAGTGTGTGTGAAATAGAAAAGAAGAAGAAGAAGCAGTTGAGAAACAGAGAGAAATCAGGTGGGAAAATGAGAGGAGAGGTCAGAGACGCTTTTTGTTTTTTTCCTTTGTTCACCGGCTTTTTATATTTAGGGCACCTCCAAAGGAGGTTTATGGGGGTTCACAAGTGGAACCTGACCTTTTTTTGGATTTAAAATAATTAAACAGGTCCAAATGCTTTGAACCCGTATGATTGGAGTCATATTTTTGAGCCCGTATGACTGGGGTTTACTGGCGATGTGGTGCATTTTATTGGCTATCGGAGAAGAGAAAGTTGTAGGGTATCGTGTGTGGTTTGCAAAAAATCGACGCGAAAAAAAAAATTCTCTCTCGACCTTTTCGTCGCCATTATCGCCGATCGACTAAACCTTCGCCTCACCGGTGATTCCAGCCGATAATCGCCGATTTCCTAAGCAACGGTAAGTACAGCCTTTCTCGTGCTTCTATTTGATTGCGATTTCGTTGTTAAAATTTAGGGATTTAGTATTTGGGGAAGAAACTCGAGTTTGTCGATATGAAAAATTTTAGGGTTTTTTGATGAAATCGTTTACTGGTTTGATTCGATACCTGCTGATGGTTATTCGGTTACTTGTTGTTATAAAACGAAAACGAAATTTTAGATTGACTGCGTTTAGAGTTTGTCGATATGAAAAATTTAGGGTTTTTTGATGAAATCGTTTACTGCGTTTGATTCGATACCTGCGTTGGTTATTGGGTTGCTTGTTGTTATAAAACGAAAACGAAATCTATGATTGATTGCAATTAGGGTTTCTTCAATTGGGAATTGTTTTTTCCATCGATTTGAAAAAAGTTTAGGGGTTTTTCTATAAATTGATTTATGCATTTAATTCTATACATGTGATGCGTAATGGTGTGGTTGTTGTTATAAAACGAATTGTAAGTGTTAACTTGAAATCGATACCATACGATTTATGTAAGTGTTTAGTGGTGTCATTGCTTGTTCAAGAGTTTAATGATAAGTGTTAGGTGATCAAGTAAACGCTGATTAGCTAGTGTAACATTAATCAGTTTAAGTAATGAGTTAAGCAGCTATTTCCTTTCTTATTTATGTGGGATGTTGTTGTTATTAGGAAGACAATCTTTGTTAAGACTCGTTAATGCATCTATGTATGTTTTGTTATTGCCTTGGTGAACTCGGTTACTGCTTTCTTTCCTTCTTTCTTATTTCATTGGCAGTTTAGGCGGCAGGAGGGAGTGAAACAGATAGGTAATTCTTCTTTTCAAATTCTTTATCTTTGTTATTTATTTAAGAGTTTGCTAACAATTGTTTCTTTATTGTTTTTGCGAGGTTATCATGAAAACGCTCCCTTGATGAATCCAAAACCCCCAAACCAATACAGATTAGCTTGCCACGATGGACGAAGGTTAGTAAATTTTACCTGTTAATATAGTTAATGCTTTTCATTAAATATAGGTTGATAGTTGTTACTTGTCACTGCTGGTTGATTTGATTCGTGTATATTGTGGTTAGGTTTATAAAATGTAGACTATCTTGTCATAGTAAATGGCTTTCATTCATTGCTTGCAAAACTAACACTAAACCATTCTCTGATAACTTTTTCAAACTTTTCATTCATTGCTAACACAGCTTTTCATTCATTACTAACAAAACTTAAAAACTCATTAAAAAAACCGCTGAACGACTTTAAGTAACTTCAACCATATTTTTAAAACTCATTACACCAACCTCTTATTTAGTAAACCTTTCTCTGTATTCCCTTCACTCCAATTCTTTAAGTAACTTCAAACCATATTCACTTCACTCCCATTCTTTCCTTCACTCCTTTTTTTTCTGTACACCACGCTTTGTCTTTCGTAAAGCCTCTGATGGATTCGCCTGACCCTGATGCTCACTCCCAAGGTTTTCTTAACCTTTTAAACAGCCAAGAGGAAAACAGTTTCTTTTTTTCACCAAGTGCTGAGCCTGGTTCCTCGCAACTCCCACGCTATAGTACGCAGTACTCCAACGCTGAGCCTGTACCGACTGAGACTAAAACGACCAAGAGGAAGTGGCATCCAACTGAAGACATTGTGTTGATCTCGGCTTGGTTGAACACCAGCAAAGATCCCATTGTCGGGAATGACCAGAAAACCTGCTTTCTGGTCTCGCATCACGGAGTGGTTCAACAACAGTCGACAGTTAGCTGCGTTTCCAGATAGGTCGGTAAGCCATTGCAAGCAACGGTGGGGGCGTATCAACGACCAGACATGTAAATTTGTTGGCTGCTATGAAGCCGCCTTGAAAGAACAAAGCAGTGGGATGAACGACAATGACTTGATGAAGACTGCTCACCAAATCTTCCTTAACGATCACGGCTTCAAGTATGGGCTGGAGCATGCGTGGCGGGAACTCAGGCACGACCAGAAGTGGTCTTCATTCTCAGCGGTGAAAGAGTCTGAGATCAAAAAACGTAAGAAGGGTGATGACTGCTCACAAGCTTCTGCAACATCGCAACATCAGAGTTATGGAGAAGACTCTTCCGTTGTTCGTCCACCGGGTGTGAAGGCTGCGAAGAATGCGAAGGGTAAAAGGAGTGCAGCAGATAAAGATGATGGCAACGAGGTGACCGAGGTGGTCACCATGTGGGAAATAAAACAACATGACTTAGCTATGAAAGATAAGCTATCTAAGCGGAAATTGCTAGATAGTTTGATTTTAAGAACCGATTCACTAACAGAAAAAGAAAGGGTTGTTAAGGAGAAACTGCTCAATGAATTGTTTTTTTAGATTTCGAAATCGGTTTCTTATTTGGTTTTGGTTTGTTTAATGTTTCGTATTCTTATGTTCTTATTGTATGGTTGTAGTGGTTTGTAACTCGGATTACTAAGTCCTTTAATTTGGTTGTATTTTCGAGTGTTGAATCGGATTGTCTTTATGATTTCCTTAACCTGTTTGATGCCTCTGTCTTGCCCAGGTTGTGGTTTGTTTCTTCCTTGTGACTAATCATGGATAATGGAATGGAGGGTCCATCTCGTTTTGGTACTTGGCGCAAGTTGGCACATGTTGGCAAATTGTACAAATAATGGAATACACTTTTCACCAACTATTCTTTTATATTGGTTTGTATCCACATAATCGAGAAATTATTGTCAAAAGTTTGTATGGACAAAATTGCTTGGTTTTGTATCCACAAAAATGTATTCTCCTTTCCTATATAAAGAGTTCAAAAATACCATATCACTCTATCTCTCCTAAATCTCTTCATCGTCTTCCTTCTTTCCCATCTATTTCATCTTCTTTTTACCTTCAAACAAATTGACATTTTATTAATGGCATCTTCATCCAACAATCATTTAAATGAGGAAAATGATGAAAGTTTAGATGATGCATTTGATGATCTTTTTGAAGAAAAATATGACGCCGCGTTCTACTCTTTACTTGAGCGTCAAGTCGTTCAAAAAAAGAAGAAGAAGAAGAGGGCATACATTGAAAGACATCGCGAACAAGGTCACCACCGATTATGGGAAGATTACTTCAGCGAAAATCCTACATATCCTTCCAATTTATTTCGTCGCCGTTTTAGGATGAACAAGACATTGTTCATGCATATTGTAGAACGGCTATCCAATGAAGTCCAAGACATTGATTGCATGCATTGGGAGTGGAAAAATTGCCCAACGGCTTGGAAAGGACAATACACACGGGGTGCGGGAAAACCAACAATTGTCTTAGAAGCTGTAGCATCATACGATTTGTGGTTTTGGCATGCCTTTTTTGGATCTCCAGGTACGTTAAATGATATTAATGTTCTAGACCGCTCACCCGTGTTTGATGACATATTACAAGGACGAGCTCCGAAAGTAAGGTTCTATATCAATGGAAATCAGTATAATCTGGCATATTACCTAACCGACGGTATTTATCCCAAATGGGCAACATTTATCCAATCTATTTCCTGTCCCCAAAGTGAGAAAGACATTTTATTTGCAACATGCCAAGAATCTACACGAAAAGATGTCGAAAGAGCGTTCGGAGTCTTGCAAGCCAGGTTCGCCATTGTTAAAAATCCAGCTCTTATATGGGATAAAGAAAAAATTGGGAAGATTATGAGAGCATGTATCATATTACACAATATGATAGTGGAAGATGAAAGACCAGTCAACTCTCAATATAATCTTTCAGAATTTCAACAAGGAGAAGGAAGCAGAACTTCAGAAGTCGATATGGTATTCAACAAATATGCTCACAAATATCTCTAATTTAATCGGGAATAGAAATGACGTTCGTGATAACCGAGTTCATCAACGTTTGAAGGATGATTTGGTTAAAAATATTTGGCAAAAATTTGGATCAACTCACCCTTCCAATTAAATGTGTTTTATTTTTAGTATTTGTATTTTGTTGTTTTCTTAATCATTTTAATAATTTTTATTTTTAAATATCATATCATGTTATATAACTGTGTTTTATGTTCTTTATTTTTATTTTTAATTAAATATAAATTATTTAGATTTACAACAAAATTAAAAAAAATATTATTATTTTATTCATATAAACCCCATATATAAATTCATGGTTGGAGGGACTAAATGGGTTGGGGTTCATCACAAAAAAAAAAAAGAATTAAATTAATTCCTATGAACCCCAAAGAGGGGATCATGGATGGAGATGCTCTTATATATACTCTTTCGATGTCCTCATTTCTTGTGTGTTTAGAAAAAAAAATTGTAATACGACATTGAAAATGTCAACGTCAAACTTGACATATCTCTTTTTCTGTCAAATAATTCATGTTTGATGAATCGTTTTCCCTTTTATCACTGGACTAAAATTCTGAAAAATGAATAAGACGGCCGAAATATCTTATTCACCGTATTTTCAAATGAATAAATTTCAATTATACATTAACATTAAAGCATATTTTTAGGAGCCATCATTTGGTGGGTAAGTGGTTTGATCTTCATATTTGTTAGGAAGATCAAGACATAGAATTGTAATTGTTGTCCTAACAAACAATTTTGAATATTTCTTCTATTAGTCTCAATCAATTTTTTAATTCCAAGAATTTCTTCACCAGTTTTCTAATAGGATAATGAAAGTTACTTTTACAAAATGAAGGTAATTAGCCCCCAATACGTAAAGGTGATCAATGCATGCAATGTGCCAATGCAACAAGACTTTAAAACCAATTCAAATCCTTCCAGAAGTCATATACTTGGTATAGTTTTTCATTAATATCAGAACAAATAAGTTTGTTATTTCTTACAAACCGATAATATAACCCACGTATGATATATGTTGGATCATGTTCCATTTTGGAACCTTCATAGAGCTACGGTCAATTTGATTCGTTGTTCGTTCAACAAAATATTAATAATATCATCTTCTAGAAACAATATGAAACGATAACAATCGTGGAATATTTTTAAAGTAAAACTTTGGATCTCAAGTCTAATTAACCATAGCAATACATAGTATATAAAACGTGTAAATACTTTTTTTTAAGCTATACACTTTTTAAACAGTATTGAGTGGGTTTATTTGATATGCCAGAACAGAATCATGTAAAAGAGTTGATCATGAACGATCATCAACATCTAGAAGAATTCAGGAACCATCAAAAACTTTTTCTTGTTTAGAAAGGAGTTAGTTCTCTAAAATAAAGTAATTATTTTTCAGCTGCAACAAGGAAAAAGGAGGGATTTGTACTGCGCGTTTCTACATTTGTAACAGAAAATAAAATACTCAGAACAGCCCCTTCAAACCTAAATAATTAGTTTAAGCCCACAACGATCTAATTAATTTTGAATTCAAGAAGAAGATTCTTATTTATATTGCAGCTTTCCTTTCTAAAATTTTTATATTTGACGAAATGGAACAGATTAATGTTACCAAGACCAACTGCGCTAACATAATTTATGAAAAATTAACCCCAAAAATACATTTAATATTATCGGTTCTGAAGCACATACTTCATTAGCCTGGATCAAAACACGACTCTGAATACTACACTGCTAGAAGTTCTAAAATATATAATTTGGGTCTGAAGTTCTCCATTTCTTTTGCTACTACAAATCTAGTGTTATATCAATCACTAAATTAAATAATTAATAGTGTAGTAAACTAAGATTATATTAGCAAGAAATTCTGAGTCAGTTGCGCCCGTACAATTTTAGGAATTGGTTTCTCCAACTGAACCGAAAGGGACAGAATGTTATTTGTAAATTGTAACAACAAAAAACAGCCTATTTTCTGTTTTATTTGAATAGAAAACAATTTTTACCCAAAAAAAGGTTAAAACTGGAGAAAAAAAACAGAGGAAGCTTCACGGAAGCTTCGTCGGCCATAAACAAAGTATATTAACAACTCTGTTACCATTTTCCATTCGCCGCTTCTCTCTCCCTCTCTATCTCTCTTTCTCTCTCGCTTGCGATTTTACACCAGGAAATCTCTCTCTCGTCTCGTTGAGGTAAATCTTCCAAACTCTGGGAATTGTTTTTCTTACCTCACAGTATAAATCGAAACTTTGAAATTTTTTGTTTACGGGATTATATTGTATCTCTCTGCATATAGTAAACGATTTGAGGGCTTCCATTATCTTCATATACCAATCTAGGGCTTTAGGGTATCATCTCATTCGATCGTCTTCATTTTGTATATAGGAAGCAATGCCTGCGATCAATAATACGAACGAAGAAGACGTTTCGAGCAACTTCGGATGCAACATCTGTCTTGAACTGGCAAGAGAACCGATCGTGACTCTATGTGGTCACTTGTTCTGTTGGCCTTGTCTCTACAAGTGGCTCAATTTCCATTCCCATTCGAATCATTGTCCTGTTTGTAAAGCTCTGGTCAAGGAAGACAGTTTGGTTCCTCTGTATGGAACGGGTAAGCCATCTTCTGACCCGAGATCCAAGCCCATTAGTCATGGTGCTACAATCCCCAGTCGACCACCCGCACCTAGGCTTGAAACAGCTCGTCCTCGTATTGGACAAAGACATCATGGATCTAGTTTCTTTCGAGGGTATTCAGGTTTTGCTTCAATTCCAAGTACTACACGGTTTGGGAACTTCTTATTGTAATGGAAGTATCCTGATGAAATATCCGACTTAGTCAATGTTCTTTTTGTTTTTGAAAAACACTATACATTGTCTACAAATTTTGTTTTGAGCTACATTTTCTAAATTTATTATCTTCTTCCCTCATTTACTAAGTTTTGCAGCAACTCATGAGATATTTGATTATTCAGTCTTCGTCATAATTTAGCTCTTTCTCATCATGTTATATATTTGCAGATTGATCTCTGCATGAACGCTAGAGAAACCTTATGCATTGATATAATCCTTCATTTAAATTTTGTATAAAATATGAATCTGAAAGCTTCACATTGAAATGCACTAATGGCTGATCTATAACTATTTTGAAAAAACATTTTCTTTCGGATTCAAAAAATAAAATAAAATAATAAACCATTTTCTTTGATACTTTATAAATATAAACACTAGTTCTATCCCAAAATAATTGTCTGTTTCGGAATAGAATATAAGTCATTGTTATTGATCATTAGATGAAGCCATCTCAACATATGATGACTATTTTTGTGTGTCTTGTTGGTGGTGTCGTTACAAATCGATCTGAGAGAGTTGGAGATTTCGTTGAACAAATTACATACACAAATACCCATTGGTCTGTTGAGATTGACATGTATATAGAGATCTACTTGTATCAAGGCCTGTTTAAGGCATTAATGGGCTTTAATGGGCCGATTCCAACACTTGGAGAGCTCACGAAGCGATAGAGAGACTGTGCCTAATCTCATCTCCACTCTTCCCGTTATCTTCTTTCTTCAGCGGATTCTCTAGCTCCAGCGACAATGGCGTTATCAGTTTCAAATCTCGCCTCTTCTCTCTCTTCGCTCTCTTTCTCTTCCCAGGTTTCCCAGAGACCTAACTCCTTTTCGTTCGCCCGCGCGAACTCGGTATTCCCATTGCCGGCGAAATCCGCTCGTCGCGCTTCTCTCTCAATCACTGCAACGGTGGCTGCTCTCGCGGAGGCGGAGGAGGATACTATGGAGCTTAAGAAGTACGTGAAATCGAGGCTTCCTGGTGGTTTCGCAGCTCAGAAAATCATTGGCACGGGACGGCGTAAGTGCGCCATCGCTCGAGTCGTCCTCCAGGAAGGCACCGGGAAAGTTATTATAAACTATCGCGATGCCAAAGTAAGTTTATCTGTATCCTCTATCATTTTCTAATTCGTTCTCTTATTGATGTTCGATGATTGAATCGAGGATGTTACAATGTTACTGGTGAGATTGATGTGTTTGCTTATGCCTTGGTTTTGGGAGTTTTAGGGTTTTCTGCAGCTGAATTTACATCTCCTGTATGGGGTTTACGTTCTCAAGTGATCAAATTTGAACTTGGGTTTAGGTATTTCAACAAGAAAATGCTATGGAAACAATCCACTTGTCCCGTTTAAGCATTTCTGGGTTTCAATGAATACCTTGGAAAAAGACTAGTTGTATAAATTGCAGCGTTGTATTAGCATAGAAAATCATGGGGTTTACAAAGACAGTCTCTGATATTCAGGATATGTATAAGTCCTATGATCAAACTGTATCTGTATGGGGTTATTTTTGATCTGGGAGTTGTATCAGCTTGATAGATGAAGGCTGTTTAGACTAGAATTAGTGGCTTGAAAGAGCAATATTATGGTTGAAGGCTCTAGTTGGAAAGTTTTGACAAGATGTTTTTGTGAATGCGAAAGAGTTGAATCCATACACATGTTGCTGATAATGATGATCCTTGTTTCAGGAGTACCTTCAGGGCAATCCATTGTGGCTTCAATACGTTAAAGTGCCACTAGTGACACTGGGTTACGAGAACAGCTACGATGTGTTTGTGAAAGCCCATGGAGGCGGTCTCGCTGGTCAAGCTCAAGCGATTACTCTTGGAGTTGCTCGAGCCCTCTTGAAGGTAAGTGCAGACCATAGATCGCCTCTGAAGAAGGAAGGTTTGCTCACCAGAGACGCAAGAGTCGTTGAAAGAAAGAAGGTCGGGCTCAAGAAGGCACGTAAAGCACCACAATTCTCCAAGCGTTAAAGAGTCTTTTATGTTATCATTATTGTTGGATCAACTCTTCCAATACACTCCTTTCCCTCCAATTCTTTTTTTTTTTTATTCCCAACTCTTCTGTCTATTTATGTGTGTTTGTTTCTTCTTCAAGTTTATGTGTAGATGAACCGATCTCTGTTTTGTTTGAATAGAATGCAGAGTTGTTATGATTTTGAATCGTATGCTCTTATCAATTGTGATTACAGGGTTTTGTTGAAAAGTTCGTATGGAAGAAAAATACTTTAGCGAAGATTATAAAAAATGTGCTTGAAAATATGTGCAAAAGTTCGTATAGATATTACATTTACATGTGTTCGGAAATATTTTTAGTTTGAAAAAGTTACGTTGGGAACAAGATTAACAACTTCCTTCCTGCTTATGAAGTCGGTTAGGCTTTTTTACAAACGAAACAGAGCTTTTAAAAAAGAGTATTAAACAGAGATGTAATTGTCGGATCAGGTTCCGTCTAAATAAGCATACTTCAACGTGACCTGGTTATATCAATAAACCATAGGTACTGTATATAGTGAACTCAAAAAAAGAAAAAAGAAATCTTGATTACATATCTCATATCGACGCTTTTCTAAATTGCTCAAGACTTGAGAAATCTTGACTTGTTCGTTACTAGGCAAGTAAGTTTACCTAGTCGTTTTCTTGATGGATTTTCATTAACGACGACGCTCGTTAGATAAACTAGGTATATATGGATGTATGTTGTGCACCAGATATAATAGATTTTATAGTTTTATCGATATGATTTCTTCCAAATGTTATGGTATCTTTAATGTTGAATAGGGCTGTTTTTGAAGATTCATAATAACTTGAAATTTGGAGGAACACAATTTGTGTGTATCTTCTGAACTCATAATAACTTGAAATTTGGAGTTCATAAGCGACTTTTGCTTGACTCGCGGTCTTTCATCATTCTCTTGACTTGGTATCCTTCTCATATGGGATTGCCACGTGTGAGAGACAGTGATGCAGACAAAAAATGGAAACCGGAAATTAGGCTGGTTTAGCTGAGAATGGTGATGCGAATTGGAGCGTTAGGTACGAGAGAGCTTACCCACTTTGACTCTTTCCATGCATTTTCTCTGCCTCCTTCTCTCCTCCTTTTGTCTTTCATTATTCCACTACTTGGAAAAATAACCCCCAAAAAAAAAAAAACAGAAAAACAAACAAATGAACAAAAACCTGAACCCTTGGGTTCTAAACCAACATAAACCAATAGTCTAATACAACTTGGTTTTGATGCAATATACTACTAGTGTAATAGAGAGCGACTTGATCAGTAGGACAAACCAATCACGTGTATCCTATAAATTAATTGATTACATTAGTCAAAAGGACATTAACTGTAACAATTTAATGATTTTCGAGGGGTCTATTTTTAGGAAAATTATTACGTTATTCATAGTCGGCTATATGATCATATCAAATCCATGACTTTTATCAATGTTTTTTTCTTTTCTGGATCTACTACCATTTCACTGCTACTTCTTCAATTTTTCCTTCTTTCAAGTTAGATGTATGCCTGTAACAGTCTATGTATATCTGAAGATTAGTATAAGAAAATATGTAAAGAAAAATAAATTTTAAATTAGTGCCGCTATTGCCATATCGCTATCCCGCTACTGCAACACTTCGCTGCCACAATACAAGTAATTACAAAATAAAATAATGATTTTCCAAGTGTCCTTCCTTCGATTAAACCGAGGTCACCAAATCTGTATGTACGTATGTATATAAAATCCACATCATCGCTAATTTAAAGAGTTTTAAAAAATTGGATTGGAATGATACTGGAATCTCTTCATAGCAGTGTAATTATTTTTTAGTTGTATCATTAACTTTATACAATTGTGGAATAATATAAGACATAAACTGTAATTTTGTTTAGTTTTATGATTGTTATGAGATATGTACAAATGCATGACTATTTTTTTCTATTTAGTGAAATATTAATCAGAATCTACTAGTATGTTTTAAAAAGTTAAACTACTTCAGAATAAATGACTCTTTGCTATATATTCATTTTACTTGACAAAAATTAAAAAATAAACAGAATAAAATATACAGTAAGATGCTTTTTTAGTTGAAAATGGGCAACTTTATTGTTTTTTTCAGATATCAACTTTCAACAAAATAGATAAAAGTTGTTTTTTTCCAAAAAGTTGTAATTTTTCTTCTTCTTTTTTTTTCAGATTTATTCTGGCCATCGATATTTTTGAGATTTGAAGTGGCTATTGGTATATGCAAAGTGTTTGTCTCTCTCTCTCTATCTCTCTCTCTGTTTGTTCACAGGAGGATTTTTGGCGTCTCCACGCAAAATTTTTTGCATCCAGACTCTCTGCACGTCTCCTGAAAGAGAGAGAGAGAGAGAGAGATCGAAGATCGATTCCTCTTAAATCTCTCGTGAAGCCCATTTCCCTCCCGCTAGATTCTCTCTTCACCCATTTCTCGCTTCCTCCCTGACTTTCTACGTATTTTGTCTTCTTCTTCTCTCTGGTCTCTCTCGCTCTCAGCCTCCTCGCTTCACTTCTCGCCATGGTCGGTGCGTCTTCCTGTTACGCATCTCCGTTATGCACCTGGTTTGTCGCAGCTTGCATGTCCGTCTCTCACGGCGGCGGAGATAGCCGTCAAGCCGTTGCTCTTCAATCTGGCAGGCGGAGTCGTCGAAGGAGACAGCTCGGCCAATGCTCTGCCGTTTCTGGATCCGGTAGCATTCAGGCTCTCGTCACTTCCTGTTTGGATTTTGGGCCTTGCAATCACTACTACTACAACAACAATAGCAATGCCTTGTCTTCTCTCTTTGGATCGAACAGCGTTTCTTTGAATCGACACCAGAGGAGACTCAATCGAGCATCTACTTCCGGTATAACATTTTTCTCCGAAATCTCCAATCTGGGTTTTTTTCTTTTATTTCTGGGTATTGTTCGCAAGTTGACAAGCTTCATTTTTTTTGTCTCTTCCTCGTAAATTTTTGTGGAGTATATCGCTTTTGTGTTCTTGAACAAATCTTAGTTCGATGTTGTCATGGGTTTATGTGAATGGGCAAATGCTAGAATTTGGAGGTGAAGTTGAACAGGAAAGCAGCTGATTTGGAATCTCAGCTGAAATGCGAAGTTTGATTTATTTATTGCGATTTGATTTATTATTATGTCATATGAAAGCACGTTGTTGTGAGTTTAGGCCCCAATATTGGACTCTAGATACAGAGCTTAGAAACCTGAACAAAGGGCAGTGAACTAAATACAATTTTTTGCAGTTGTCTGTAACTCTTTTGTTACCATGCCATTATTGAAATGTAGTTTCTGGATAGTAGCTAAGTTCAAGTTAATGCATCATTAACTATAATGCCTTTTGTGGTTTCTAGGTGGAGCCATGGCAGTTGCGATGGACATGGAAAAGGAAGCCACGGTTAACAAGAAACCCCCTACGGAGCAGCGCCGGGTTGTTGTGACAGGCATGGGAGTTGAGACATCATTAGGTCATGACCCACATACCTTTTATGAGAATTTGCTACAAGGGAACAGTGGTATTAGCCAGATCGAGAATTTTGATTGTTCTGAGTTTCCTACGGTAAGCACATTACATCAGGATCTCTTGGAACCTTTTTGGTGCGCAGATTATCTCCATTTGCTTTTTTAGTTTACTTGAATATCTTTCCTTTGACAAGAGAATTGCTGGAGAGATCAAATCCTTCTCGACTGAGGGATGGGTTGCTCCAAAACTTTCAAAAAGGATGGACAAGTTCATGCTGTATCTTCTCACAGCTGGCAAGAAAGCTTTGGCTGATGGTGGGGTAACTGAAGAAGTAATGGCAGAGTTTGACAAAACCAAATGTGGAGTTTTGATTGGCTCAGCAATGGGGGGCATGAAGGTACATTCTTCATCTCGGGTGTGAACATTTAGAAAGTATGAAAAGAGTTCAGCTCGAGGTTTCTGTTCAGAGTCTCATCTGATTGTTCGTTTATTATCAACCATTTCTTTTACTAACAAAAAGGGCCACATGAATATTGAAGCCGGATCGGGAAATGTGTTGGTAATCATTGCATCTCTAACAATCTATATTGATACAGGTCTTCCACGATGCTATTGAAGCTCTGAAGATCTCTTACAAGAAGATGAATCCTTTCTGTGTACCTTTTGCGACAACAAACATGGGTTCTGCTATGCTTGCTATGGATCTGGTCTGATGAAATTTTTATGTTATATAATATTATATAGATGACCACCTGCAATCTAGTACTGAACTTTCTTGGTGGTCATGTATTAGGGATGGATGGGGCCAAACTATTCTATTTCAACTGCTTGTGCCACAAGCAACTTTTGTATTCTGAATTCAGCAAACCACATTATTAAAGGTGAAGCTGTAAGTATCCTCCCCTTACCTGGTAATTCGACAGTTTTGTAGACTTCTTCTGGTTCTACGTTTATTAGACTATGTCTGTCTTTCCACTAAACCTTTCAGGATGTAATGCTCTGTGGTGGCTCAGATGCAGTTATTATTCCAATAGGTGCAAATTCGTTCTCCTATATTACATTGCTCCCTCTGTTCTTGAAACTTTAAGCAACATGAATTTTATTGTATGTGTACCAATGCAGGGTTGGGAGGTTTTGTTGCATGCCGGGCTCTTTCACAAAGGAATAATGATCCCACAAAAGCTTCACGTCCTTGGGATAGCGTAAGTTTCAACAATTTCTTATTTTCCATTTTTCTACTGTCATGTTGTAATCTCCTTCTATTGTTTCGTCAAGTCTTGATTACCAAACGGAGGATGTTAGAAACATTGTACTGAGTTTTTGCCAACAGGACACATGTCAGTAATGTAGAAGGGAACGTGTGTATTATGTTTGGATATCCTTCTTGTTTGTAAATCTGATCTGGATCCAATAACAGAATCGAGATGGTTTCGTGATGGGAGAGGGAGCTGGAGTTTTGCTTTTGGAAGAACTTGAACATGCTAAGGTATATATAACCCATTTCGTGATAGGAAAGGGAGCTGGAGTTCCAAGATTTTTTTAAATATTTGCTATGGAACAAATTGTGAGAACATATGTATATTCTGCTCTTTTTTTTTTTTAGAAAAGAGGAGCTACTATCTACGCAGAGTTCCTTGGTGGGAGTTTTACATGTGATGCCTACCACATGACCGAGCCTCACCCTGATGGTAGTTTCATTTTCCCATGTTCATATTAGTTTGCTAATCAACTGCAAATATAAAATCTGCTTTGTCTATAAAGTAATCGTCATTATCCCATGTGTTATATCCACAGGGGCTGGTGTCATCCTCTGTATCGAGAGAGCGTTAGCTGATGCTGGGATTTCCAAGGAACAAATAAATTATATAAATGCACATGCAACCTCAACACCAGCTGGAGACCTCAAGGAGTACCAAGCCCTTGCTCACTGTTTTGGCCAAAATCCTGAGGTAGCTTCACTTTTTCCAGTCCTCCTTAAAAGTTTAGTATATTAGGAGCTGTTACAAAACTCCAAGGGAGTTTTATGTGCTTTTCTTATTGGCTCTTCTCACGATGTGGCAGCTAAAAGTAAATTCCACAAAATCTATGATCGGACACTTGCTGGGAGCTGCTGGGGCTGTAGAGGCTGTCGCAACCGTGCAGGTAACTCAATAATATCAGAGACATCAGTGTATTTACGAGGAAGAAAATGCTGTTTTTAAACCAACTTTTATGAGAGAGGGAAATTTTGTGCAATCTTCGCATATTTCATGCTAATTTCCTGTTGTTTTCTACAGGCAATAAGGACCGGATGGGTTCATCCAAATATCAATCTCGAGAATCCAGACAGTGGAGTGGTATGTTAATACTTTTTTGGCTCTTGTTATTACAAGCTGATCGTTGTTCTGAACTAGTATACTACACAAAGACCATTTAATGTTCTTAAAAAAAAAAAAAACTGTCGGCGCGAGAATAATAATACTAGCTGATATGAAACTGGAGCAGGATACAAAATTGCTGGTGGGTCCTAAGAAGGAGAGATTGAACATTAAAGCAGCCTTGTCAAATTCTTTCGGGTTTGGTGGCCATAACTCCAGCATCATTTTTGCTCCTTACAAGTAAAAGCAAAAGTCGTCGCTTGTACTCAAGACCTGGTTGTATAACTTGCTGTAAGGTACATTTCATCCGTTTTTCATTGGTTTTTAAATGATTTTGAAGGGTAGATTGCTCTTTGACCTTTACATATTAATTTATTCTGATCGAGATAGATCATTGACAAGAATAACCCAGAAATGGAGTTGGTTTTAGAAGTATTTCCGGTCCAGAAATGTAATTATGTGCAGTGTTTACAAGCTGAATATTGAAGCTTGTATATATTATGTGCAGTGTTTACAAGAACTTCCCATGTTACGTCATCGCGGGAATCAACACAGTTTGTTAAACTACCAAGAGCTAAGCTAAGTTTCTTAGGATCAAGATCTGATTTGCCAGAGAGCTTGGACAGGAGCAAACGTAGCAGAGTTTGAATTTGCCATGAAAAATATAATCCCTGTGATACCTTATGATTGGAATCTTTGTAGCCTTTTGTAGTCTTTTTTTTTGTTGATCATACTATCTGAAAAATGCCAAATCAGTTCCCAGTTAAATTTAGTAACTCTTGACAGTCATTGGTATAAATGCCTCTAATTATAACTTATCTTGAGAAACCAATAACCATTTGAAATGTTAAAAGGTCTTTCCAATGTCCAAAATTTCCCTCCCATGTAAGCTTTTTCTTCTGTTAAACATTATGAAAGAAAGCAGACACGAAAGGAGGACACGAAATGTGCAAATTTTACAAAATGGATGAAAGGGTTTCATCAGATTCACCTCAATACATGAGCTCCCAAAGAAGGATTTTAAAGTTTTTTGTTCTTGTTTCTAAAATAATGATAATGAAGTCTCAAAAATGTTAATTCAAAATAACTGAATTTATTGAATTACTATTGGTTAAAAGTTTGGAAAAATATTTAGTAACAAAAAAATGATGCATTTGTTGTTAAGTATTATTTTTTTCTGTTAATAATATGTGTGAGAACTCTAAAATCTCTTTCGATTAAAAATAAGTGAGAGTATTTTATTAGAGAATAGATAAAAGTTTCTACATGGAAAAAAGGGGTAGAATGCTATTTCTTGAGTATCTGAAGCTTTATGTTCTATTCTTCTTGTGACCCCTCTTGCAATTCTGTGACCACTAAGATCCCCACTTGCTTTAATTTTTATTTTATTTTGTTTTGGTTGAACACTTTTATAATAATATCCAAACTCTGGTGTCTTTATGCGTTTTGGTTCTTCCTGAATGATCTTACAGAGTTGTGGAATCACTCTCGTTCTTTGTCGCTTTGTATTGATCCGTTAATAAGCACATCGCTTCATTATCAGTCAGTACACATCTTTATATGTCTCTCTTCTTCAGATTTCTTCTTTTCTTGGCTCTGTTTATGTCACAAAATAAGATGGGTAGGTGGAGGCACTAGTTGAACGTATGTCAATGTAATACTGCCAAAAGGTACTTTGTAATTTAGAGAATCATGTGACTATGTGAGTTATTATGGACAAGTAGATTATGGTTTCCACTATATATAACTAATATATAAGTGCATTATAATATATAAATTTTATGTGAAGATGTAGTAGATTGGTACGTTACAAGAGATTCATATATAAATTTGATGTTAAGCTGTTGTTTTAAAAAAATACTTTCATCCGCATGGGACATTAGCACCAAAAAAGAAAAGAAGCATAGGCGTGGGATAATAACAAAAAGGATCAATATAAAATGCGACAGGGAGACAGGATCAACGGCATAGGAGGAGAGAGACGCGCCGGCTTTATAAGCCGCGTAGCAGCTGATCGTGCTCAATGCCAATTGCTGCGAGAACTGGAAAATAAATAAATGATCTCAAAATGGTGCAGTTAAGCTGTGGACACGTGTAAGGTCAGTATTTTATGGAGGAGACGTGCGCCTCACCGCTTCTTTTAATATTTTACGGTCTGCAAATATTACAAATTTAATAATAAGGTGACACCGTGGTCGTTGTTTATTGTTATTTTGTCGGGTAGAAAAAAAGAAAAGAAAAGGTAAGTAGAAAACGTGATTTATGGATCAAATGCATTGTGGAGTTATATTATAGTTATGTAGGATCATCCACTCCGTATTCCCCACTAACGCCCGTTGATTTTTTCTAATAGTTTTTATAATATAACATCACGCCGTTAGTCCTTCTAACGGGACTAGAGTACCCTTAGACATCTCGATATGCCCACGCCAATAGAAAACCACATTGTTGTTTAAGAGCATCATTATCGGGAGAAACTCATTAGGGATCCTTGTTAAATTGTTTAATGGTAAAAATAGTTAAAAACTTTTTTAAAGAAACCATTTGTAAAATGAGCTGCAATGGCAGAAACCCAGGTGGGGTTTTATTAAAAAAAAAAAATTTCTCAGATTAAACCCAATGAAGTTTTGATTTCATGTAGAGGAAGAAGAATACATCATGGTGAAGAGATTGGAGGATACATGCATGCTGCGGCGGAGATATGGATGTCCGGCGGCGGAGATGCCGATGGAGAACTCGATGAAGGAGGAAGAAATCTCGGATGCCTCCACCCAGGCTTTGATTTCACAAAGACGAATTGCAGAAGACACTGCCGTGAAGAGCTCGGACCATACATGGGAGATTTGTCGGAGAAAAAAAGAATCAGAAGAATATCGAAGGAGAAGAAGAAATTCGTCGAGGAAGAAGCGAAGAGAAGAAAGAAGATATTTCATTTCTTTTTTTCTGACCAATGTTAACAAGCCGCGTGGCTCTAATAATCGATTCTAATCGGTCCTAAATAAGGATCGATTTTTCAATTTATTAACTTTTTTGATTTTTTTTTTTTGATAAAGTATTTGAGAAACTGGGTTAAAAAACCGCGGTAATGATAGTCTAAAGCACGGTTATTTTGGCGTTAAAAACAAATTCGTTTTAGTAATTTTTTTTTTTATATTAAATCTCATATAAGAAAAAATTCATTTTTATACCTGATATGTGGGCAGAGCGTTCGACTACGCGATGATTATTTAATTTTGATTCGTTTAAAGTGGAACAAATTCAGGTTTTTAATATGCATGTTAACAATTTTAGGTTACATGTTGATATTTTTTTTATCAAATTTTTGTCCCTTTGCTTATTGTGGTAGAGGGCATAATGGTTAAAACCCGATCAAAAGGATTGGACGTGGCGTGGGTTGACGGTGAACTCAAACACTGTCTGCACTCTGCCGTTGATAAAAAAAGGCATTTAATTAAAACACGTGTTTTATATGCTCTATTATAGATAAATAAAATACTGAATTTATATATTCATGAGTTTTCGTATCTGCAACCCAGCGAAGAAACTAATAAAGAGGTCCCCCATTTCTTCCTCGTGACAAACTCACTTTAATTGAGAGAAAGAAAAACCCTAAGTTTCTTTTAAGATTCTCATAGTCATATATTTTTCATATTCGAGAACAAGCATCAGAAAAATTGAAGAAACCAGGAGGATTCGTTTTTGCTCCAGTTTTTTGTTGATCGATTCTTTCGGTGAGCTTTGATTTCGCGAAATCGAAGCCGTTTTTGTTGTCGATTGATTATTTAACGATGTCGAGTTCTGCGGAGTGTAGAGAATTCGTTGCACGGAGGCTACCCGAGAAGAAGCCGAGCTTCTCACAGACATGTAGTCGATTGAGTCGTTATCTCAAGGAGAAGGGTAGCTTCGGAGATCTGAGCTTGGGGATGACATGCAAGCCCGACGTCAACGGTAACGGTCACCTTCTCTTTCTCTTCCTCTGTTCATCTTTTCCGGTTTCCCAATTCAGAATTTCATCAAAAGTGTATTTAGGGCATGAAAGATTTTACGAATTGAATCAATCCACAGGAAGCTGAATCTTATAGGAGAATCGATTTTGCGCTTAATCGTCTACTTTGATTACTGATTGTTGAATCAATTTCGATCTATGTATGTTTATGAATATGTGAGTTTCTGAGAAATGCTTTTATGTTTGGTTAACTTTGGATCAAATTTGCAGGAGGTTTTGCTGTGTCACATCAGCCCAAAATGATGAATCTGTTCCCTTGTGAAGCTTCAAGAATGGATTCTTCGGGTGCTCAAGACGTGAAACCAAAGATTTTGTTTCCTCGCCAATCAAGCTTTTCTTCCTCCTCTTCCTCTGGGATCAAAGAAGAGGTCGAGATGGTCAAAGAGACTAAGTATGTTTATCTGTAAATTAGTTTAAAAGAATAAGACTGACACAGTGTAAGCTAGATTTCCATCAGTTTTACTGATTGTGTGGGTTGTTGTCTTCAACCTTGAGCAGATCTGTGAAGCCAGAGTCTCAATCTGCTCCACTGACCATATTCTACGGCGGTCAAGTTATGGTGTTTGATGATTTTCCTACTGACAAGGCCAAAGAAGTCATTGACTTGGCTAACAAAGGAAGTGCCAAAAGCTTCGCAGCTGAAGTGAATTATACTCAGAGCTTAGCCAAGAATCAAAAAGAGACTGCTTCGACCCCAAATCCAGTTCCTAGTCCTGCAAAACCCACAGCACAAGAGCCAATCCAGCCCAACCCGTCCTCTTTAGCATGTGGTAAACATATCTCAGACCTCTTTGGTTCAGTTTCTAGGCTTTTTGACTTATCCATATTTGTCTAACTTTCTTCTTTCCCTCTCTTTTGATTTGTAGAACTCCCAATTGCTAGAAGAGCCTCGCTTCATCGATTCCTGGAAAAGAGAAAGGATAGGTAATACCACATATATGTTTGTAATTGTTCCTTATAAGTTAATTTGCTGTTTAAGAAAGTTTCTGAATATCCCACTCGTGACCTTGAACAGGATTACATCAAAGGCACCGTACCAGATAGACGGTTCAACCGAAGCGTCTTCCAAGGCTAACACAGCTTGGCTCGGTTCGCGGTAATCTTTGAGACTGTCTAGACTTGAGAGACCATCTCGTAAGATTCTTTTGATGCTCCGTCGTTTACAAATATCAATCTCCTCTGTTCATTTTTTTATATATAACTTGATTTCACGCCTAGTAGTTTTTGTTTGTTCAATACGCCAAAAACTCAGTATATTTGTATGAAAGTAATCTTCTTATAGTTTGCTTGTGTGGTTTAAGCCATTGTCTATAAGACTATAACCCTTTCCTCTGCCAATCTATAAGCTTTGCAACTTTTGTAAGAAACATCTCAGTTCTGTTTTTTTTTTTTTTCTTGTTGTTGACAGCCTTAATATCAACTTGTTATAATTAATCCAACTATCCAAGTGTTCTTTGTTCGCTTAATTAAGCTGAAATCAAAGTTAGCAATAGTAGTTAAATTATTAAATTAAAGCATTGGTTTCAAGTTTTAACCAAACAAAAAGAGGTCATAGGAATAGAACTTCAAAAACTCATTTTCTAAAAAACATATAAGTATGTACTACTTTAACTTTATAAAATATCCAACAAGGTAGTGGACTAAAATCAAACCAGGCTTGGTAAAAGGCCGTGGGAACTCTATGTCTATTTTTTTTGTAAAAGGCCATAGGAATTCTTTGGGAGATACATATTTGGATTTTTTTTGTTTGTTTGACGGCAATACATTTTTTTATTATACTGATCAAATATCATCTTTCTCAGTTGGCAAAAACAAATACTCTCTTATTTCACAATAATTCATCTTTAAAAAATTTCCACACAACGAATCATTTAAACTTCACCTTTCTAAAAAACTTAAAACATCAAATATTCTATACTTACACATAATTAAGTCAATAATAAAATAAACTACCGAATAGAAATAATTATATATTAAACACTATACTTAATTTGAGACAATTTTTTTAAAAACATCAATTATTCTAGGACAGAAAAAGTATATAATTAAATTTTTATAAAAGACCCGAATGTTACAACTTGCATATCCAAGGCCCCACATGCATAAATTGCACCAAAAATCAGAATGATTAAAAACACTAGGCTTTGATTGGTGACATGTAGTATCATTGCATAAGTTTGAGTTATGGGTCTAATGCATAAATACATCAAAAATGTTACCAATCATGAATTGATTTGAATTTTTTGAGTTTGAGTTTGAATTACAATGTATTATACTTGAGTTACAATTTTGATGTATGTCCTTTGTTAAATTGCTAACTCAAAAATTATCTCAACATCAACAAAAATCTCATGAGTTAGAAGTTGAGTTAGGATTTTTTTATTTTAAAATTTAAATTTCCTACATTGTTGTTGTAGAATACAAAAAATCAGCAAATATTTCTCAACTAAAGTCTTAAGAAATTCAGTTAACCCAAAGTCTTAGTCAACAAATTTTCAAAATTTTCTTGTTCCATTTAAATTAGTCAACAATCTATTCCTAAAAATCTTCAATTGTTGATTTTATTTAATATTTTTCTTTTTAAAAAATGCTATTTACACAGAATTATGTGTGTATATATACATGTCTTTTATTCATTGACATATACACATTCCTCACACATGTTAGATTGTAGCTGCATGCTACGGCATCTCCTCTTGTCTTCAATTTTGACCATCAAAATATAGAGGTTTTACATTCTTCATTTTATTTATTTTGTTACTCTATCATTGTATATTCTCTTCTTATTTCCATCGGATAGCTAAAAATATACCTTTCAATTTGAATCTTGATTCATTAACGTTACATATTTGTGTGAAAATATTAGTTTATATTTCTTTATCATATTACTAATTTATTATGTTTTTCTTTGATAAAAATGTCTAATGATGGTGGTGTTGATGGTGTTGCTGCCGATGATGTTGGTGGAAGTATACGTCGTAAGGTAAGTACTAAACCTAAACCTCCAATAAGCAAGTACTATCTTGTTGATTCTGGATATGCAAACAAGCGAGGATTTTTGGCGCCGTATAGAGAAAATAGTAGAGAAACTATCAGATACCATCTTCCAGAATTTAATGAAGATCCTCCCAGGAACAAAAAAGAATTGTTCAATAGGTGGCACGCCTCACTCCGTTCTGTAATCGAACGCACATTTGGAGTTTGGAAGAAAAAATGGAGGATCCTAGACAATTTGCTTCGATACGACGTCAAGACTCAAAATAGAATTGTGCATGCTACTATGGTTCTTCACAATTTTATTAGACGTTACAAAATTCCAAATGCTGATTTTGAAGAAGAAGAAAAGATTACTCGAGATAGTCGTAGACGACGATTTGAAAAAAAAGAGCTTAGAAGACTCGAGGAAGAAGAGGCAACACTTGATGGCCAATATATGAATAACGTACGAGATGAGATTGCAAATATGATTTGGAATGCACGTAGTTAAGTTTTTTAGTTATCAAAATTTTTATTTAATATATTTTTATTTATTTAATATATTTTAAGTTAGTATAACTCTACTTTTTATTAAATTTTGTAATAAATATAATTACTATTAATAATTATAAGTTTATTTTATTTTAAATAATGTATACTGCATTTTATACAGCAAAAAAGTTACCAGTCAACTATTTTGACAAAAACTTGATTTATATTTTTACAGCAAATTTACCACATAAATCTACATTTTCTACCACATAATTTTTACTACAACTCAAATCCAACACTACATGTCACCAATCATAGCCTTAGTTTTCGTTGTTAACCCGAAACTGACAGCACGTACGCAATTATTTTTTAAAAAGATATTTTGAGTTGGAATTATGAATTAGTCGAGTTTGGAATTTAGACGAATGTGATTAATTCGACTATATAACTCTGTAGTATACGAAATTTTCACGAAAAGGATATCAATACTTAGTATTTTAACGGTAGTTTTGATTTTGCTCTTAAATATATCTTGATTGGTAACTTTTCTCTAGTAAAAAATAAACCAGAAGTAACACCCTAGGAATTTGTCTTTTTTGACCAAAGATTGTATAAAAATGTTCAGGTCTACCGTACAGTCACAAAGTTGTAGAGACGTGTCCTGCCCAATCTTACATTTTCAGTTGATGAAAATTTTGATTACATGGTTTGAGATGTTTGGGTGTATATTAATTCTGTAAAATCATTCCTAGCATTTTTATTGATTCCTTTTATTCCGAGGAAAAAGCATATAAACATTAATCAGTAGTATATAAAACCAAAACAAAAAAATTACCAAAAGCAAGCTTCTATACAATTTGCTTTTAGCCTAACCAAAAATTTCAATCTTTTTTCTTTGCTTACTTTTTTTTCCTTTTTCTTTTAAGGTGAAATAGAATGATGATCACTTTTTTTTTGTTTTTTTCCTTTTTAAAATATATTACTCTTCAAATTATTGTGCATATCCTAAAAAACGAATATCCCGGCGGAGAAACTCTGTTCGCCGGCGTAAGGAGAGCTTGAAACGTCAACGCTTCTCGAAACTTGCGATTTACGTTGCTCATTTTGGTCGTCCTTCATTATTTGCACTGATCTGCACTCTGCACTGCAAAATCCCATCTCTCCTCTGCACACAACACAACCCAAGAAAAATAATCAATTTCCAGAAGAAAACCCATCAAACAAATTCGAATATCTCGGGATTTGAATTTGTCTCGATCCATTTTAGATTCAATAATTGGGTTATTTCTGATTAATTTATCACGATGAAACTTACTTGTACATGTAAATGTCTTTGCCTTGAAGTCTCTTCTTACACAAGCAACACGAGCTCAGAAACTCTTGCCAGCCCCCAAGACTCTGTCTCTTAAGAACCGGTGGTTCATCGACGAGAACCATCGGTCTCGACACACTCTCAAACAATTCAAACCCGTCTTCGTTGTAATACACTTTGGTCGGACCATCACGGCTCGTCACGTAAGTGTACTCCTCCTCCGACAGATCAATCTCCGGGCATCGAAATCTCCCGGAGTGTCGAACCGGATCGTACCGGTTAATCCCGATGCAACTTTCCTCCAACGCAGCGACGATACCCAAACCGATACCACCGGAACTGTACCGCTTCGAGTTAACCGGCGACGGGAATTTCAAATCTAATGGACTTCTCGGACTCGCCGTGTAATCCTCCGTTTTTATAGCAGATCGGCTTCCCGGAACCAACATCTCCGACAACTTTCGGATCATTAGATGCGGTCTCTTGCTTAGAATCATACTCAAGAATTAAAAACCTTTTTTTTTAACAAGAAGAATCAAAAACCCAAAAGAGAATTGAGAGAACTAAAACAGAAAACGAGGAACGCAAGCTTATAGGAAAGAATCTGATTGAAGAAGAGAAGAGAAGATGAAGAAAGGTAGAGACTTGAGCCCACTGATTTCCTTTCAAGTTTGGAATTTATGTGCTATGATTAATGATTGAAGTATATAGAACGGCCCACCATTTATTTATCATCGTCATTACTTCTTCCGTTTTATAAAGAGTGTTGTTATGACACATTTTTTTTTTTCAAAAATAATGTCGTTTTAGAATTACAATGTAATATTTAACATAAAATATCATTTTTATCCTCAATAAATTCAAAAAATTAATTATAAATATAATTCTAAGAGTCATTTTCTACAAAATAATAAGGGTATAAGAGACATTTTGAAGAATGTCAGAACGACACTTTGAAGAATGTCAGAACGACACTTTTTGTGAAACGAAGGAAATATTATTTTTGTTTTTTATTTATTTATTTATTTATCTTGTTTGGTTACTTTAATCGACATTATATTATTACACACCATTATTGAAATGAGCAGGCTCAGATTTTTTTATTTTACATTTATGTAATGATTCTTTTTATTATTTCATTGGTGAGTAGGACACTTGGACCCACTTTTTTCATCAAGATTCAGATGTCCATTTCCGATATTTATTTTTATTCTTGGGAATCCAAGACTTTCTTTCTATAAAGGAAAAAATTATTCTGTGATGTACCTGCTATACATTTTTATTTTATTTTTGTTGTTGAAAATGTGTAATTAAATCACTGCAATAAATATTAGTTAGACCGATTCACCTATACTTGGATAATATGTGGATAAATTTTCTAGATTATTTATTAGCACCTAGATTATTATTTAGATAGTGGTTTTTTGTCCGGAACCAGACAGTGGTTTTACTTTTTTGAAAGTGATTGTTTTCTTAAAAAAATTTAAGCCGAAAATTAGGTGGCAATTTGAAAAGGATTGTGGAATCTTATCCCCTAACTTTAATTTGTTCGATAATTTATAAATTAATTTTGGATATTTTTCCGGCTAAATTTTGTTATGTCGACCTTTTTTTTTCCTTAATACCAATCCAATTTTCTAGACTTATATAATTTGAGCTTGTAGTTTTTCATTAATAATATCGACCGAAACATACGTAATGCTGGGAAGATATTTTATTATTTCATTTAAAGAAAAACCCCTTGTATCTATTTGTTTACGCTTAGGGACCTACAAAACACGCGAATCATTTTCAAACTGGGCTGGACAAATGATTAAATATATAGGCCCATTATAAGACGTTGGGCCGAAAAAATAATATCTTCCAAATAATTGATCGAAACATGAAATTGTTACATATTATTCGAAGATATTCTTACAGCAATAAAAAAATGAAAAAATGTAGGAATGACATGATGTCCGAAACGTAACAAATTCCCGGGTCGTTGGAGCTCCGTTTTACAAAAATCTCGAGATTACTCCATGATGAGTGATGACCCGAAGAATCCAAAAATCGCTCTTTACAAAATTTCGTTTGGAAATTTTAAAAATCCCAAAGAAACAAAGACCCATCAAAATTCTCGACTCCGTAATCTTCAATGGGCAAAATCTCTGTAAATTGATCGCCGGGGAAAGCAGAGAAATCGTCGGAGAAGTCATCAAACCCGGGAAATATCCCGAAATCCGCCGGAGGCATATCGAAGAACGACGACAGATCACAATCCAGAGTCGTCACAGACGATGAAGCCACTTCAGATGCGGAGGTTGAAGGAGACTCTGGCCGGATTTCGAATAAACCCGGTTCTTCTCCCCGGTTAATAGTATCCTCCTGTGCGTTGGCGTAACGAGCAGCCGCTTCCCGAATCTCCGAAGGCGTTAACGACCTTCCGCCGGAGATCGACGGTGGATGATCGGGGAAATTGAAACCGGCATTTCCGCCGCGGAGACAAAACTGAGCAGCGTCGAAGGCACGCGCCGCCTTCTCCGGCGTGTCGTAAGAGCCTAACCAGATTCGGTCTCTGCAGTTGGGAAGTCTGATCTCCGATACCCATTTTCCCCATTTCCTCTTCCTCACGCCTTTGTACTTTGATTGCATCGATGAGTTTCGCTTCTCTTCTTCCTCCTTCATCGCTTTCTTCGCCATTGGAAATAAAAAAACAAGACCAGAAGTAAACACACCACCCGGTTTTGGATAATTGGACTCTGTTTCTGGTTTGAGATTTCTTTTCCTCGTTTGGTTTTGCAGTTATTTCTGTTATTTGTTTGATTCGAATTTGCGGCTGTGTGGATTTATATACGAGGAGTGAAGTAGGATTGGGAGGAAGATGAACGCTGACTAGCGCGTGAAGAATGTACACGTGGCGGGTTATAAGTGGATTACGCGGGAACAGTGAGACTGTGTTGGTTTGTCGTGTTCCTTGTTTTCCACGTGATTTATTCCATTTCTTGTCTTTTTCCCGATCACCTGCCCGATTGATGATAAAGAAATACTCAGTTCTAGACTTCTAGTATTTGTTTAGGCACGTGGGTCAAAAACACTGAACAATTTAGTTTAAAGATCACTTTTTTTTTTTTTTTTAACTTCTGATTCTATTGTAGACAAATCACAGATTTATGAATTGTAATTAAAATTTGTTGTAGAGTATCATCGCCTAGCAGGTGAATTCACCAACTCCATGAAATTGAGTACGAAAGATGTAACCTTTTTTGTATATACCCGAATTTGTTAGAGCCTTTTATTGGATTGAGCGAGAGTCCACCTTTCCTGATGCCATCATCGTTGATACTCACTTCATTTGAAAAAACCAAATTTTTATTAGTAACCCGGTGATGGTAATTCTACCGGTTGGCCAAGGCCCAAGGGAAGCTCTTCGGGGAGCATGACGATTTCTTCGGTTCGAGTTGTACTAGTAGTGGGAAAGATACTTTTTCAACTTGCTTTGATCTATGCTCCAAGAAGACTATAAAGCCTAATTGAGATCCAAAGTTTCTCAGATACAAAAGCGAAATAAAAGAGAAAAAGAAAAAGGTGATGTTAGGAATTTATTTTTTATTGTTGTGCCAGCATTTGGATAACAGACTTCGATTTCATATTGGTTTTAGACGTTATAAGTTATTGGACCAGACGCAGAATTACTGATTACTGCTGCTCATTAAATGTTTGATACGGACAGTTAGTATGTTCGATTACGATCTACGTGACATCATAATCAAAGTCAGATCACACTCCTTGAGTTCCATAAAGCCGCCTTTTTCTACAACCATATTGCTAGTTAGCTTTTTTAGATGGCGGTAAGAAGTTTTTGCCTAAGGCCATCTCTATTGTTGATCACCTTAGTGGGGATCATAAATTATTTTATTAATTTTTGTTTTGTTTTGGAACAGTGATGAACTTCTCCCTACAAGCGACCTCCAACTTTTGAACCTATATTTGGGTTTATTCGATTTTAATTTTTTTTAAATTAAATTATTTTTGAAAATATTTAAACAATACACACGCGTAAACAAACAATTTTTTATGGGCTATGTCATGCCTGAGAGAAAGACAAATGACTTCAGTGTATTTTCAGACCGACTGTTCGGATCTTGTGAGCATGTGTGAATCACCAGTAAATTGACCGTCCTTTATGACAAAATTAGAATCCTTTTGTATACTTGGCGAGAGCTTCTCAGAGTTTACCTTATCCTATATTCCGAGAATTCAAAATCTCCGGACGGATAATCTTGCAAAAGGAGCTCGAGCAAGAGGAGTTATTTTTTCCCAAATCGATCATAACGAGCCGGTCGAAGATGGTTCACAAACCACTCCTATGATAGGCCAAATGTGATTGTAATAGTTGGATAGCAGAAAAAAAAAACAAACAATTCTTTATAAATCAACATCTTGTTTTGCAAGTAATCCTTTCTTGTTCTCAATCGGATTAAAAAATGAAGACAAGCGTGTGTGTGGTGTTGAGCTGAATACCTTCCCGTACATCCCTTCTATAGCTTTCATTGACTCCTCTTCTGTTTCATACTGCAAATCCTCTAATTCATTAGTATTCAACTACCGAAATGATCCATAGACCAACAACAACCTGATGACAATAAACAATGTGGATTACCAACCAAATCACTTCATTTCACAGATTATTGCATAAAGCATATTTCTGTTTACACGGTGTATAGACAAGGTTCAACTGAAAGCTATGAAATGAAACTAATTTCCCATAAGAATTTATCCATTTTCTAGATTGTTAACTAGATTGCAAATGTCAGCAGCAAAGGTTGGAAATACCATCAGGAATTTTTTCAGGTCCTTTCCTAAAGAAATGCTTCGTAGGATAACAAAAGCTTGGTTTAGTTCACAACCAAACAAAGAACTAACATCCAGATATTTAAATGGTCAAGACTCTGAATCTTACTTGTTAATGAATGTGTGAGCATTGGACAAAAATAGATCTCCAGGCATATAGACGGAGATTAAAGTTCCTCATTATTCACAAGTTAATAACATAATATTAACCAATAACAACCAATAAGCAAAGCAGAGAAAATCATCTCCTCCTCGTCATGTCTCACAACCAGTTCCCAACCAGCTGAACATGAGTACAACCAGGAATTATGATCATAATCTAAACTTTGTCTGTTAAAGAAAGTTGAGAATTTGAAACATACCCGGCAAAGTTTCTGCTTTAAGAGTGTGTCTGATGAGCAAAAGAGGCTGAGGATAGAGACGAAGGACTTCTACAACGATCAGCCGTATGTACCTGCAGAAGCATGAAGCAAAGAGGTCAACGATTAAAATAGAGACCAAAAGATGAAAGAAGATATCTAATGGGAGATAGGACCAGATGTGCGAACCAAATCAGTTATGTTCTATTAGCAAATCCCAATACATCCCTAACAGAAACATCTTTCCAAGTTCATAAAAACCAAAATTTACAATTAAGAAAAGACACACGGTCCAGCGTAAACTGCATTGAGAAATTTGTTTTGCGACCAGGCCATGGATCCTACATGCAAAATCGAAAAAAAAAAGGGAAAACAGCCACCTATTGCTACCAAATACGACCAATGGAATACCACATTAAATCAGAAACGAAACCCATATGGCAAATCTTCCCAATTATATCCACAAAAATTAGAAAACGAAATCGAATGGCAAAACTTGAAATCTAAGAAAACGAAGTCGAAGATTCATCAATGATTAGAAATCTAGATGAGACTGCACCGTTTCTACGAAATCGAAATTCAGATACAGAACAAAGAAGAAGAGAAAACCGCAAATTCTTTACCAGTATAAACGCGAACCGATTTGCTCTTGGCAGATTATCGGAAAAAAGAGATAGGGGAAAGAATGAAATTTTGTCGAGAAATTTTTAAGGGAAAAGAAATGTCCGATAAAATTTTTTTCTTCCCACTTTGACCAAAAATATACCGCCAGTTGTCCGATGATACTGAGTCATACAGGATCAACAGGTTGAGTGCACTCATACGGGTTCATCAAAAATAAGCTTGTTTTTTAATTTTTAAATCCAAAAAAAATAAAAGCTCTACTTGTGATATCTACTCATACTCCGTTAGAGATGCCCTAAGTACTCTCGAGAGCAGCAACAAAATGAAGAAACCATAATTAAGGACCCATAAGCCTTGAAGATCTCTTGTTTGCTCCATCAATTGGTTTCTTGATCCTGCCTCGTTCTATTGCTTTCTTTTTTCTCTCTGTCAGAATTAATCGCCAGTTTTCAAAACGGAGCAATCGTAATTAACCTCCTTACAAAATTACATTACAGAGTAATTTTATAATGGTTGAATCATGAAAGTTATCAAATAGTTATTATGGCGTTAGCGTTATGCCAAGTTTTGGAAAGTTAATTGGAAACATTGACCATAACTGTGCCATTAACTTTTTCAACGTAGATGATGCTGTCAGAATCACAGCTTATTAAAAAAAAAGAAACTTTGAGAGAGAGAGTTAGGTGTCACCGGAAGAGAAGAGGCGTTTAAGTTTCTTCTTCCTACTCAAAATCTACAAGTGCGTTAACCACCATCAATCAAGTGACAGCAGCAACTTCGAGTTTCTCCATCTCAAAGACAGAACCTTTAGGATAAGAGAGACAATGGCGATTCCGATGCCTACTCGCCATCTATTCATCGACGGCGAATGGAAAGAGCCCATCTTGAAGAAGCGAATCCCGATCGTGAATCCGGCTACCGAAGAAATCATTGGTAAACCCTTTTGATCCTTTTTTTCCTTTTTCTTTTCTCTTCTTTCGCTCACAACCCGATACAGCTCGATTGGATCCACGATCTTTACTTCTTAGTTCTTAGTTCGATGAGGAGATTTCGCTTTTGGGAGTCTTCTTAATCTACTCAGGAACACTTTTTTTTTGTGTGTTGGGTATCTAAATAAAAAGGATCTGTATGTTTTGGATGAAACAGGTGATGTCCCTGCGGCTACAACGGAGGACGTTGAGGTTGCAGTCAACGCTGCTCGAAGAGCATTTTCAAGGAACAAAGGGAAAGACTGGGCCAATGCATCAGGAGCTGTTCGTGCTAAGTACTTACGTGCTATTGCTGCTAAGGTATTCGTTTTTGATGTTTGTGATTTTGATGTGGAGACCTTTGTGCAATCGGCTTGATCTTCTCATATGTTTAGGTTAATGAAAGAAAGTCACATCTGGCAAAGCTAGAGGCGCTTGATTGTGGTAAACCACTGGATGAAGCAGTCTGGGATATGGTATTGTTGCTTCCATTTTGGTAAATGTCGGATCTTTTTTTGGCAGGTTCGATCTTGATGTGCTTTTTTTGATCTTCTGTAGGATGATGTCGCTGGATGTTTTGAATATTATGCTGACCTTGCTGAAGGATTAGATGCTAAGCAGAAAGCACCAGTCTCGCTTCCCATGGAGAGTTTTAAGAGTTATGTTCTGAAGCAACCTATTGGAGTTGTGGGACTCATTACACCATGGTAACTCTCGTCAACTCTTAGTTTCTTTCTTGGGGTCAATGTTTGTCGCGCCTAATCTATATAATGTAAAGTCCATTTCAACCAAATCTTGAACCTTTTTTGATGTCGAAGGAACTACCCCCTTTTGATGGCTGTTTGGAAGGTGGCTCCTTCACTTGCTGCAGGGTGCACTGCGGTTCTCAAGCCATCAGAGCTGGCATCAGTGTAAGTAACTGTGTATGGATCTTTTTCGTTTGTTGTGCTCTCATTTGTTCTTCCTTGATCTCTCATTTGTGTCATGGTTTTTAACTTCAGCACTTGTTTGGA